GAGGTATGCATCTGCACTCAACGATTCCGTGATAGGCCCGGATCGCGAATACCGCACGCTGTTCAGACTCTCCGTATCAAAACCGGGTATGGTCATTAATCTAGCTGCAGCCGGGAAATAACTTTTGGTGCACGGGCCTGTATGGCGGGGTGTGCGCTCACGAGAGAGTAATATCTATCGCAACGCTTAATCTTTTGACCACAAACTCCCTGCATACTTGTTTGGTGATTGTCGTCATGCAGTCGTCTGCCCACAGAGTTCCGGTCATAGAAAAGGTTGCATGAAGTAAGTGTCAGTAGTTGATGGGCCAGGCCCCCCCCCCCCCCCCCCCCCGCTCAGCCTGGCCTCCTGGTTTTGCTCATCGTTCTTCTTTGGTCACGTCTCACCTGCCACGTGTCGCTCGTCTCGAACCACGGGCAGATGAACTCACAGCAAACTCCCCTCCTTGACCCCCCCCCCCCCCCCCCCCCCCCCCTCCCTGACGTTGCTTCCATCGGACCATTTCTTATACAAATGCGAGAATGGAAGGGGAGAGAGGGGATCCTCGGCTTAATTTTGCTGCGAATACAAACTTACGACGCTCGACTCTGAGCCTGCACCCCCTCCCTTTCCCTTCCGACCCTTGGAGGTTCGGCCACTCACATCACAATGGCGTCAATTCGAGCCGTTTCTTTAAGTCTTCAGGTTACTATGCGTGCAGAGAAGCGTGCTCTTGTCTGTTGCGACGGGCAAAGACTGTCGGCACGTCACCAACTGTCATCGAATCATTTCGGGCATCCCAAGAGGCCTCATTCCGGGCCAGCCGAGTCTTGGGTTTCCCATGGCCTCGAGTAAGGGCTTGAATCACGGCCTCGGGAATTCCCTTCATCGTCCTGCTAGAGATGGGGGACAGAAAGTCATCACGGGCTCTTGGGTGGCTCAAGACATGTTGTGAGAGTCATCCAGCAGCAGCATATCCCATTACCTCAATCTTGTCTAGCTATCTATATCCGTCCTTCTGGGCGGTTGAAAAGAAATGACGTTTCAATAAACTAGGATCGCCAGGCCTCCCGAAATTACCTCCAGTACTCTAGCAACGCTACGCCACGTGCGAAGGTGGACCGGCGGGTGAAGGGCTTCGCGGGACAGGAAAGAAGGTCCACAGGTGTGCCGTCGTCATTATGGTGATTGAACATTAATCCCTTAACCTCCCCGGTCCGTCAGTCAGTCAGCCCTCGCTCTTCTCTTCCATGGTATATGCAAATTAAATGTCACCGTATTTACACGGCACGATGGGTAATGTACAAGAATGGCACTGAGTCCATTCAAGGGAAGACAGAAATGAATCGAGTTAGGTGGTGGTGGTGGTCTTCCTGTCTAGAGACGGTTGCGGACGACGCGCGAGCGGAGCTTGGCAGGAGGCCCGACGGCAGGAGGCCCGGCGGTAGGATCCCAGGTGGCACTAAATTGATGGGTTAGCTCCTCGCGAATACAACTCAGGAACGTCAAGAGGGAAAAGACTTACCCGACGTAGGTCGGGGGCGGCTCGAGGTTCATGCCAGCCTGGTCAAGAGGGTCTGCAGTGTTACCAGCGGCATTACCAGAAGTCGGGATGCCCTGGGCTCGGCAGGCGGCCTGGTGGTCCTGGGGGATGGTGAGGTTGCGAAGCCTCTCGGGGGCTTCGATGATGGTGGCGGTGAGACCCATCTCGACGTGCCACTCAATGTGGCAGTGGAAGAGGTAGACACCCGGGTTGGTAGCCTCGAAGCGGAGGACGACGTGCGACTTGCCCATGACGGAGACGGTATCGCGGCGCGGAGGCTTCTGGTTGAGGCGGGCGCGTTCAACGCCGGGCCAGTCGCCCGTGTTGGTGGCGGGTCGCCTAACAACCTGGAAGTGGTGGCCGTGAAGGTGGAAGGGGTGAATGGCGGGGTCCTTGTTGTTGACGACGATATCGACAATTTCGCCGTACTGAGCGACGAAGGGGTGTACGGCGCCGTAGACGGCGGGGTTCGTGTTGTACTCGCCCGTGGTGGCAGCGGTGTACAGGGTCGGCACCTTTTGGTTGACGTACGGGGACCCGTTGACGCAAGAGCGCGGGATGCCATTCTTGTCCAAGCAGAAGTCCCAGTCGAAAAGCAAGATCTTGGTGGCGGGGGGGAGGATGGCGACATCTCCAAAAGGCTCGAAGACGGAATCGTCCGAGGGGCGGAATTCCTTGACGACGTCGGTGCCGAACGGCCTGTCGGGGAACATGACGAGTTGACCAGTGTAGTTGTGAGGCCAGGTCTTGTCGAAGGCCGGGTTGGTGTAGTCGCGGTTGTAGTCGCTGGCAATGAGGAAGCCATAGTTACGGTTGTCACGATCAATGCACTTGACCAGGACATCGTAACGCTGAGCAGGGGCGACGCGCAACATGTAAGCCGTCTTCATCTTCACGTAGGCCGAGTCGGACGCGATTACGTTCATGTCGTGAGAGTCAAAGTGAACCATGAACGAGGCAAACGCGGCGTAGCTAATCATACGAATGCGATACGTCTTGCCCTTCTCAAACTGGAAGTTGGCTCCCAACCCGTCGTTTACAACAAGGCCGTTTGGAATCGGTGGCGCAAAGACGGTGTTGCTTGGAAGGAACATTTTCTGCGCCAAAGGAATGGTCTGATCGTTGTACCTGCAGCGAATCAGTCTAGAACCACCACAAAGGACACCCGTGCGTCAGTTGCTTACCAGTCTGAGATGGAGAGGATGTATTCCTCATCATACTGGCCAGCGTAGGGGTCTTTGGGGTCATGAATGATCAAGGGGCCACGCATGCCGTCGGGGTACTGGCCCATATTGTGGGAGTGCCACCAGAACGTGCCACCCTCATCGGCCTACGCATCCTTGATTAGTCCCCACTGTGTCTCAAACGGCCAGTATCTCGTTCTTTATGTAAGCTTACAGTGAAGGAGTAAGTCATGGTCATGTCGGGGGGCAGAGGGCACTGGGTGACCATGCTCGGGCCATCCATCGAGTTGGTACTGATCTGGTTGATGCCGTGAAAGTGAATACCGGTGGTCTGGTTGCCGAGCTTGTTGGTAAGGTGAACGACAACGGTATCACCGACGCTGGCCTCGATCTTGGGGCAAGGCCATTGCCCGTTGATGCCGATCACAGGTCTGGAGACGCCGAGGGGAGCGGCGTTCACCCAAGTAGCCTCCCAGTTGTAGGTGACTGTGAGAGCCAGGGCAGCATTGGCCCAGGCCAAGGCGGTGACGAGAGTCCGCATCATGATGGGCACACGTGAGACCAGACAAACGTGGTCTGGCGTTCTGCAACCAAGGTTGTTGTCAATGGCTCCAGTCAACGAGTGGGGAAAGGAGAGTCGACCACAAGCCAGACGAACTGAAGGGGAATCAAAGGGCAGATGAGAAACAGGCCTTGGTGTCCTGGATACAAGGAGGGAGGAGAAAAGGCTTATAAAGAGGAACGATACAAGAAGGGTCGGTACGGCTAAAGCGGGAGGTTTGGCCGTTGGCGACCACAGCCATTCCGGGAGTCAGCCCCGGTTACTTGGTACAGTTGGAGCTCTGACATGGTGTGTCGGTCTTGGGATTGCAATAGTCGGTTGATGCTCAGGCGAGATGGGACACCCCTCCGAGAGAGGACGGCGGCTGAGATGACATATGTCGCCGGGGCTGACTGCGTGCACATGGCAGGCACACTCAAGTCGGGCATGGCCAGGCGTGTGCAAGGCACAACCTGGTTACGGCCCTGCTGCATGGTCGGATGTCCGTTACCTGCTGCAAGCTAGAAGGGAGCGAGTGAGTAGGCCCTGGCGAGGCCATCTAGGATGACTCGTGTTGTTGACCTCTCGGCTAGGTGACATGGCGAAGCATAGTGTGGCATGCTCTCGGACGAATGGCTGTTGGGTTGAGAGGATAGACAATCTCCAGACGGATGGGGCTCGTTGCTCAAGGCGCCCGAGGCTGCAGTAACACAACTTACAGCCAGTCCTACGATGATGAAGGAAACCTGCATATGGGATATCCAAATTCGAGTTAATGGTTAGAATAACAAAAAGAAAAGAGAAAAACACGCGCGCTGGCTGACTCGAATGATTGAGCAAAAGAGACATGGGAAAACACCGAACGTGCATGTTTGGATGGGCCCGTTATACGCCACTATGCAAGCAGGGCTTTGCAGGGTACATAAAAAAAAGATGAGCATGGGCTCCTGTCGAGAGGCACAACAGCGAGTGCTGGCACAAACCCCTGGACTTGCAGGCCAAACCCCGGGGCCAGAAAGATAAACGGCGGGCTTATGCGTCGAGGAAACCCAGAGACAGAAGACAACTTCTCGGTTCGCCCGCCATCCATAGATCGCGCCCCTTGGGCAAAGCGAGAGAGTGAGGCAGCGGCATGTGCCTGCTGTGGTGGGTGGGTCAACGTGCTTGAGATTGCAGGTCTAGTTCGGCCGAAGCGCTCAGGTACGCGGCGACGTCATGGTGGTGACCTTGCCTGGTCGAGACAGGGCCGGCGGGCCTCGACGAATCAATAGCAGAGGAGCGAAACGGTGCGGAAAGATAGGACGGTCGCTCGTATCCCGTCCGTCAAGGGTTTTCCTCCCAGAAGATGTTGCGAGCATATGCTTTGTGCAGCTGCGTCATCCTAGCGTCAGGGTGGGTTCTTCGTGGGGACATGGACGAAGATGGACGGACTAATTCAACGTGTGGTCTCTTCTCAGAAGAGCCAAGATCTATCCGGGGCTGGGTAGAATACGTGTTGGTGTGTAGTGTAAGCCTCGGACAGGCCCCCTTGTGGTCCATTGAGCAGTCCGTGTACGACAAGGTCTTGTGAAGTATTCAAACTGCCTATGACTGCTGTGTGCTATGCACCCATGGATGGACGTGCTTGTCTGCATGTTGGGTGTAGGCAGTTCGAGAGGAAGAAACGGCGAATGTCGTACAGAGGACCCGTAAGTGCCAATGTCCAAATGGCGTGTCAGACGGATTACCCGTTGACGCTAGCAGACAAAGGAGCGGAACAGCCGGCGGGCATGATCGCAGACCAGGTTCAGGTACCTAGTACTCGGGGACATCCACCAAAGTCCGGGGCTAGCAGATACATATCTAGATAAGTAGGTAGATGGATACCTACTTTAGCATCGCAAAGTCCGATGCCTTGGGATGGAAACCTGCCCCCCCTCCCACCGTCCCGCATTAGCGCTGGCGGTGATCGTATCCTCCTCCTCGTCCTTCGACCTACCTACAGAAGCCCTCCCACGTTCCCCTTCTGCGCCATTGAAATCGCCTGGGAGAGGACCAGGAGCCGCGTCTGCCTCGGTACGAGAAAAACTGGGTTATATTGGGCAGCGTCACATTTCTTGGGGATTGGTGAGCCCCCGTCCCGTCCCACTTCACTCCAAGTCTTTCGCCTATTGTCGAGACATCAGCACGCCTAGGCCCCCGTCACCATCGGGCACCATCAATGAGAGCCCCGTCGGCCGAAGCATCCTTGCTCGTCCCGTCCGCTCGGAAACCCGACTGGTTAACGTTAGCGACCAGCGGAGTCGAGACCACGAGTTGACCAGTCTCGTCTCTCGGGTCCATTGCTCCTGTCGTCGAATGTTTACCGGTCCTACTGTCTGTCCAGAATATTCTAAGCGCTGGTTTGGTTATTTTCTGCCCTCTGACAACGGCCGAGGAAGTCAGATTGTCGATGGACGACTTTGTAACTGAGGGTTAGTCGAACTCTCCTGATTCTGGAACGTGTTCCATCTGGCCAGGTCTCCCTTTCTCTCCATTTCCTTCCACACGTCAAAACTTGGAGCTAGCCCGCCATCATACCTAATCCCAGAAATCCTGTGCTTGCTTACAGTTCTCGACTGAGACCGGTAGGCAAGGTCTCCGCCCGCAAGGGTTACCCTCACCAGTTCACCCGAACACGACTACGGGTTCCCTGGCTTATCAGATAACTCATACAAACAAAGTACCGGTACATCGTACGCCACCCCATGCAGGACTGGAAGCGATCTGCAGCTACCCACATCATCCTAGTCTCAGATCATCCATCCATGGTGTGCTGCATCCATCTCGTTGCCCGCCAACTGCCACTTCCACTTCCACTGCGCTGGGATGGCCCTAGACAACACGCTAATTCGGGCCGCCAGCCAAAAGCAGTTCCTGGACCATTGCCTGTCGACCATTCACGATTTAACGAGTCAGACCCCATTGCCCAGTCTCTCGACACGATACAACTGCATTCGCCAGCCCGAGCCCAACGGTGGCGGGCGTAGAAGCAGCGTTTATTATGAGACTCATTATGAGATTCACTATGAGATTCACGATGAGATTCACTATGAGATTCACTATGAGACTCATTATGAGATTCACTATGAGATTCACTATGAGATTCACTATGAGACCTTTCCCGCCGGCGCGGCTTCCGCTATATCGGATTGGAGTGCCGTGCTGCCACTGCTTGTCATGTAAATAGGCCTATGGCGCCAAAGGGTCTGTTCCCCTTGTACGGCGACGGTGGCATGATATGCTCCAAAGCGGTACCAAAAACATTGACACGACGACAACGAAGACTGCAATGCATGTAAGAAGTGCCCTGCAGTTGATCCCTCGACGGACGCGTCAATCCTGCTTTGGAGGTGTCCTAATCTATAGCCTCCCCAAGCGGAGCTGAAGGAGCTGAAGGGATCGAAGTGACGCCCCGACCATACATATCAAGTCTTGGCCGTGAGATTCTACCAACGCACATACATGCACTGTGATCATGGCAGATTGTCGATTCCCTCTTGGCGCGACTCTTTTTTATCTTTTTATTTTTATTTTTTATGCTTTCTCAGCGTTCGCGACCCGTCCGTGCAGCCTAGCTCGACGCTGTCTCACGCTTCGATGATGCGTGCATCTCACTGTCTTCCCTTGGCCCGCCTACGCATCATCCCTTACTTGCTTGGTCAAGTCGTAACGACAGCAGCAGCCATTGCTCGCTCTTCTTCCGACGTTAGGATCGTACCACCCCCTAGCTTGACCAGCTCGGGAGGCGGCCGGCCTCGCTCATTTTACCGTTGTGTGGCTCGTGATCAGGTCGTTCGGGTCATTTGGCACGGCTGGTCCAGAGCTAGGAGAATTCGATCCATGGCAAGCTGCGGTCTCACGTTACACCCTGCTGCTGTGCTATGTATTGTCGTGTCACCAACACTAGGTCAAGGATTTCGATAGCAGGTGCGGCGCGCATGGCAAGCTCGTCCGTCCCCAATGTGACATGGTTGATACGGTCCCAATTCGGCAACTCGCCCTCGACGAGCGGCTGCAACCGGCATCTCGATACCCAAAGATATGGTCAGCTCAAGACCCATACAGACAGACCATCTTGTTCTTCTATGCCGAACACTGCATATTTGCACCCTTTTGGAATACACTGGTCAGGCCTGGCAAGGCCCCCAAGCTTCCTCTTCTGCCGGCTTAGTCAACAATTGGGACACTTGATCCCTACGTCCAATAACCTACCGGGGGCACGCAATGCAACCCAGAGGCTGGTGCAGGCCTCAGCATTGTGCATACACCGACCATTACGGAAAATATTGCATCGCGTGGCCACGCCGTTACCCGTGAGTGGCTGAATGCAAGGCATCCGCCTTCTAGCGCTCGCCATTCACCGAGCCTTGCATCGGCCCCCTGGTCACCGTCAGCACATATGCAGCTGGCAACGAGGAGGAGATGCCCAAGACCACTCAACGCCCGGGATGCCAAATCAGCGGGGAAGAGGCTAGCTGCCACGCTTCGTCTTCTTCGCTCGCATAGTTCAACGGGGCTGGCGGTTGCAGGACAATGCTGCCGGAGCCCGCTGATTACGGCGATTTATCACGCATGCCTCCGACAGCGGCATTGGAACGAGTCTGACTGCTTCCCACCCATGGCTTCCGGTGTCTTGGCACACAATCTGGTCATCCCCTTCTACACCATCCGGAGGACCTTCACTCCACTCCTCTCGGCGTCCCCACTCTTATCGGCGCCGGCCGCCCGGATAGCGGGGCCGGCAACAATTAAAGAATTCGGTGCACGAGGCCCGCTTTTCTTTAACCACCATTCGCTGTCCCGCTCGTCGTCTTACAAATATTGCGATCCGTGACCAGCAGCATGAAGAGGTTGCAGGTCCGAGGATTGTCATTGTTTGCCTCGCCCTACTCGAACACGAGGGAACGTTTTTGGCATCCGGAAGCCGCCCGGATAGCCAGTCACTCGTTCCTAAATTAGCCAGGATGGCATAATTAGCATCTGTCTGCATAGCACACTCGTCAGCGCGCACCCCGCTTCGAAGCCAGGTGATCCGGCCAGCTGGGCCTTGGCCTACGACGCTTTGGTCGCTGCAGACGCAAAACACGATCCACGAATCCGGCGCGTATCACGAGATGAGGCACCGACTTTTTCGTCTTTTCTTGGAGCGTATCTAGGCAGTGTAGGAACCCTTCCAGAGACCCAGCGGATTTTGTTCGTCTCTAGGGTTACCGCCTCACATGGCGGAATCCGAGGCGACACGAATTGGGCCCGTCGAAACCAGGCGCCGTTTCGTGGGGTGCGGGGAAGCGGGGGGGAGGGACGGAAAGGAAACAGAACGGATGTGGTGTTCCTGGGAAGCTTAAAGGCTTGGAACGCCGCACTAGACAACATGGAAACTCAATGACTGGTGCGGCCTGTAGGTGATGGCATTCACCTTGCCAGGGTAGCCCTGTTTGGCCATAACCCGATACTGTGGTTCTGGCTGGTCTAATCTTGTGCCTCCCAGAAAGACGAAAAAAGAAAGTCTGCCGTATTCGTTCGCCGTCCCAAGCCATTCCTGCAGAGATGGTTGCTCCGTCATCCCTCGTGAGCCGTGCCGAAACCGAACTCTTGCCGGCTCTCTGTGCTCCAACGACATGCCAAAAAAATCATCTCTTGAACCGAGACACTCATGAGAGGGCAGGCAGCACGCGGGGGAGAGATCTTTCAGTTCACGTCAAGGGCGCGCGTCATCGTCGCACGTCGCTCGCCAGGGAATTCAAGTTCCTTCAAAAGTTGTCAGAACTATCAAGGTCCAAGTTTTCCATCAGCGGAAAGCATGCGAGGGGGGGTTTGATTGGCTTGCGTACCCGACTCAAAAACCGAGGCTGGTATCCACCAATCCTCGAGGCGAGAGCGGACGCGCAACTATAAAAGAAACCCGACAGAAATACAAACAAGTCAACATCCAAGTTTTCGCGTCTCTTCCGCATCACGATGGACAGAGAGCTCTGCACCATACCGTACGTACACCACAACCTTCTTGTCGTCGGAACCCTTCGAGAAGGGGTGGGGGATGAAGTTGTAGCGAAGCATACACAACAACGAAGCGGCACGGGAAGTGAAGTTTGGACTCCTAAGCCAATCTCCATCGAGAAAACATAAAAAATTAAAAGAACTATTGAACTAGAAAAGTATGCGCAATTCGATTTGAAAAGGCACGAGAGGGGAGCCTTTTCCCCCACGGAGCTCCGGTTTCCTTTCTGTCCATCGTCGCAGCCAGTCACATAGTTACGCGAATCACCAACCAGTACGCGAAATCACCAAGTCGGGTCACGAGGCCGAACTGCCGCAGAGTTGTGTTGCAATTTCCAAATGGTGTCGAAGGGCCGCCGCTATCGAGAAACCCCTTTCGCCTCTCTCGCCGTTCGCAGCGAGTCTTTGCTCAACAACCTCGCGATTGTTGCCCCTTCGCACCCTCCCCTCCTCGTATCCCTCCTTGGGTTCCTCGAACGCTTAAGCCATTGCGCCGACGTTCCTTATTGGACGGCAATTCTGACTCCAGTTCTCTGTGACGCAAATGAAGAGTCCTTTCACAGCGTTCGTGGCGAGAAGGGTCAGGCAAAGAAAGATCAGTCAACATATATTCATCCTTTTGACTTGTCGGATGCACCATCTCTGGGTGTTGGCTTCGTATTCCCCGTTGTTTGGGACAGCTGGCCGAGAGACAAACCAGATGCCTCCCCAGCCTGGAAGCGTGCCCTTGGCCGATGTAAAAGGCCGGTTCAAAGACACAAGCTCGGGTCGCAAAGAGGAGACGATTAGAGAGCATCCAAACTGTCGAGTCAGTCTGCAAGACCAGACTTTCTTTCTGGGGAGGGGGGAGCGGGAGCAAGTCTTACTGCGTGGGGCGACTTGGGGCTTGCGAGTCGGTAGACATCGGCGGTTTAAGGTACGAAAACGGCACGGTCCGGCGATCCATACCACCTTCTCGTACAATATCTCGAAGTAGAGCTCTTGGGGCGTCGAGTAATGGCTAAAATGCCGTCGTGATGTGATGGTTTCCCTAATTCCAAAGTGTCAGGGTCCGTACATTTCCACGTCGGAGCGAGTACGTCACCGTGCCTGATCTTTCATCTGCTTCGTTGACTTCTGTTGTACGGGACGAGGCCAGGGTATGCAAGTTTCAACCTCATGAGCGGGCGGCCACCACGACTGCACGTTCCCCGTCACATGCTTTCTGCTAGGGACCCCTCTTCGCCTTTTAGTGTTTTGTATTCACCCGGAGCGCTTGATCTGGGTCTATGCCCATTCTGACAACGAGGCCACCCAAGAGTATATGGCTTCTACTCTGCCTCGCCTCGCCTCTCTAGCAAAGTTCGTATAATGTGACCGATCAGTATAGCTACCCCTTGTAGGAATAGCCTCATTGTGGGGTGGCTTTAGTCCAAGTCACCTCCTTGGCTTGTATGAGCACAGCTGGGGTGGGTGAGATGTTCAGCCGCCTCATCCTCTCCTCTATGAAGAACTTGTGATGTACTGTCAATAAAGCACAGAGTAGGAAACAGTTTACGGCCGCAATACGTTATCAGCCAGCGCCCCTTCCTTGCTACCCTGCGTCATTCTCGGGGGATGAATACGCTATCGCGGGCTTCCTTCCGCTCTCGCCCTCGTGAGACGCCCGCACAGTTTCTGCAATGAGGAATCAGCAGGACTGTGCTCGGCATCTCTGACGAGGTGATTCCTGGAAATGCTTTTCCCTGGCCTCTCCGCTATACAAGGCACGGGGAACCGACCAAGGACCACAACCGTTACGAGTGACGAGTGCGCCTGGGGATCGCACTCGACCGCAGGACGGATGAGGTTGAAATGGCAATAGCCAAGTCGGTTGCTAACACATGAGATTGACCATGCCGCAGTAATCGGTTCTGTCTTTTCCTGTTCTGTCTTTGGCTTGCCAACATCCTATTGTCGGCGGTTTTGAACCATGACCGTTGTGATCCAGAAGAAATGAGAAGAATTGCCCCCCCCCCCAAAGACGCCTAATCTGCCTTCTATTAGAGACGATGTTGCTATTCGGCAAAAATATCCTCCAAGCCGCTCCATGTACCCTTGGATCTCTCCTCCCAGTACGAGTCCTTGCCCGTCCTCATCTTCCACACTTCCTCGCCTTCCGGACCCTCGCCGGCCTTGACAAACCATTTGGGCTTGTGCTCTTCGCCCCTTTCTTCGAGCACACGACGCCGGGCTCGCTGCGCCTCTTCCAGTTTGACCTTCCACTCCTCGGCCTGGTCAAGATCGCCCTGCTCTGCCAGACGCTGGTCCGGTCTGAGTCGACTGTCGGTGGGTGGCAGCCTACCCTTCTCGATCTCGGTGATCTCGTTGAGGCCAGCTGCAAACATGGTCATTCCGTACGTGTTGGCAGCGTTCTCGACAAGCTTTCCAACGTGCCAGATCTCTTGACCGGCGCCCTTTCCGGCCTGAACAATGCGAAGACCGCCAGTCCATGTACCGGATAGACTGCTGCCCGTGTGCACTCCGTCTGGTCCGTACGTCTCCACCTGGACATCCTCACCTCGGCCGCCAAACATCCCCTTGCTTCGGAACTCGACAGAAGCCTTGGCGCCGGTCGAGTCGTTGCAGATCTGCATTACGCCGACCGGCTCAACATACTTCTCGCCCATCACCACGTTGCGCAGAAACATCGTTGCGTGCGTCCACGAATACAGCTCATCCGTCCCGTCCGGAAGTCGAAGAGCAATACGAACGCGGCCTTCCGTTGTGATCTCGGCGCTCTTGCCCCAGAACTTCTGCGATGGCGCTGGGGATTGACTAAAAGACCAGTTGGCTGAGTCGGCCTGCATGGCGAGTCTGACGGGGCGGTGAGAGACCTTTTCCACAAGCAAGCGGAACCCTCCAGGAACCTCCTGTTCTGTCCGCAGCATCTCGTAAGTCTCGCCGAGAAGAGGATTGAAAGGCTTGCGAATAGCGCGCTCTTTTGCGCGACCGGTGCTGAACTGCGACACTGCGAATGCTGTTACATAGAGAAGGCGGTCCTTGGCTTCTTTCTGCCGGACAGCTTCATCAAGGAGCTGAGCGTATTCCAGTTGTTCGGCAACGCGCTGCAGAAGCGAGATGGGTTCGTTCGCAGACACGGGCATGCTGATAGTGCTAAGATCCTTGCCCACGTTCTTCCGCACGAACGCGATCAGACTCGGAGGCTGTACCAAGGCCGGGGGGATCTTGATTCGTCTGTCGACCGAGATATCCACTGGCAGCGGAGCCAAGCTCTTCGGCTTCGCAGGATAACAATTTGTACCGTCTGAAACGAAAGCGTCGTCCTCTTGAGCCGACGAGATTGAAGACGAGTCACTCAGGTGTTCATCAGCTTCCGAGTCCGGGCTCTCGTCCTCGCTCTGAGCAATCCTAACGATCTGCGAGTTTGTTTCACCGGCTTCGGCATCGAAGAACTCTTCTGTTGACACTGTTTCCATGCTCCGCCGGGAGGGTGCAGCCGACAGGGGAGCGGGTGTGCGACGACGTTTGCTGTTGGCAATGAGGGTCGTGAACTCGGACACAACCGAGTCGAGGTCATTGAGGACGGCTGCGCAGTGCTCCTGGGTGCTCTTCTCTTCGTGGGATGACTTCCGCTTCGAGTGGTGTTGGCCATTGGCGCTCGTGGTCGTCGTCACGGAAGTCGAAGACGGAACGGCGAGGGCGGCCGCGGCCGCGGCCGCGGCAGCGGCTTGAGCCGTGGATGCTGTAGGGGTGGCGTTGCTCGACTTGCGCTTCCAGAAAGGTCGTCGCTGCGACTGCTCCGTAGTGGTAGGGGGTGTAAAATAGCCGTCATGGTCTTCGCCGCCCGGCGATAGGAAGTTGGACGCGGCCACGCTGACGGGTCTCTGGGGGGTGGACATGTCCTTTACCAAGCGACGGAGTGCGTCCCTGGTGCCAACCATTCGGCTGACGAGAGTTTCGACCTGCTGCCATTCGCGATCCTCGTCCGGGTTCGACTGCGTTGGCTTCAAATGCGTGGTGCTGACCCTCAAGGGGGCATCTCTGCTGTTGTTGGGCTTCTGCTCTTCCACGCCTCTCGCGGCGCGGCTCGCCTTCTCCAAGGCCTTGGCCCAATCGTTGAAATCCTTGGCATTGGATGCCCGCAGATGCCAGATCTCGGCGCCCGAGTCGATGTTGATCTCCCGGCGGCGCTCATCGGCGGCGATGGCGGCCAGGCTGAGAGGTATGGCACCGCGGAGGGCAGACGAATTGCGGTTGTAGTAGTAGGAAAGTGTGCAGGACGAATAGTCTAGCGAGAAGAACCTGCGCGCGTAACCCTGGCCCTTCTTTCTCCTTCTCTTGTGCAGAATTCCGGTGTGGTAGTTGGCGTTTCCGTCGCTGCGACCCGAGGCTGAGGTCGGGCGGCCTGCTGGCGCCACGTGGCTGTGGAAGCTGTCTTGGGAGGCAGAGGTAAGGGTGGCCATCTGGGGCAGGCTAGTTTTGCTGGCGGTCGCATTCGATCCGGCTTGGAGGTTCGGGAATGTTTGAGCGGTGGTCTGGGGCGGTGCGCCGGTCGGGTAGGTAAGGAGAACAAAGGTGGCTGTCTTGGAGATCTGCTTGGAAAAGGTGTTGTCGAAGACCAAGCCGTACATGCCGCCCTGGCCCGGCGGTACATCCCAAGTGCCCGTCGACACCTTGTCGGCATCACATTTCCCGTGCCATGTTATAGGGATAAAGCCCTTGTTGGCGAGCTGCTCTTGGGCCGTGCTTGAGTCCCGCCTGGCGAAAGATTTCTTGGGTTCGGCGACGCCAGAGGTAAAAGAACCTGGCGTCGCAGCATCGTCGTTGTGGTTCGCGATGAGGCCGGCGGGGCCTGTCCCTGGGTGCTTCACAACGCCAAAGTTACTGGGTCGGGGAGCGAGTGGTCAGCAAGTGGCTTGATCGGAGGAGGCGAGAGAGAGAGAGGGAAAGGAGTAAATGATACGCACATGGACTTCTTGTGTGGTTGAACACTCCAGGAAATGGTATGGCCCTCATCGACTCTGACCCATCGTACGATGTAGGACTTTTGCGAGCACGTTGTTAGCAAGGGGGATGTCTTCAGCGCAGAAAGGGCGATAGAAAGGAAGGCCGGGCAAGCGACGACTGTGTACCTTGCTATGGATCTCTAACTGCTCAATGCCCGCCATTTTTGCGGGTTGGGTTCGGAGCTCGAGCTGTCGGTGAGAAGGGGGGCGGGGGTTCGGAGCTGATCGTCCAGGACGCGTTTTGGTTCCGGAGAAGGTTCCAACGCTATTAAAGGATCATGATGTGGAGTGCTGCGAGCTTTGAAAACGGTTCAATGGAAGGATAGGGAAAGGGAGGGAAAGGGAGGGAGAGAGAGAGAGGCGGAGTGTTTGCATACGAGGGGAGGTGAGAGGAGAAACATATATCATCACCCTTGTCGGGAGCTGCAGTAGCAGTTTACTCGTTCGAGGTAGGTACGGAGAGGGAGTGTGGAACGTATACTCCGTACTCCGTACATTGTACGTCTTTCTTGGGCACAGCACCCACCCAGCCCAGCCACACACGTCTGTCTGGGTGGACGGAACAGTTGGTTGGGGGGGCGCAACGTCATTGGGGGAAGGAGTACAGGGTGCGAAGCGACTGGCTGGCCCGGGGGTTTAAAGTGGGGACGCGGACGCGGACTGCGACAAAACGTCGCCAGGCGGGCTGTGCGAGATGCGGTAAGCCGCGGGTGCGGGCGTGAGCACGGGGCGCCCAGCATACCTAGGTAGTAGTTGACGCTGGGCTGTTTCCATCCTGTCGATAGCCACAATACCAGGCAGACAGAACGGAAAGGCGCATCTATCTCATCTTCTGTATCCGTAAATTCCTGAGTATTCATCTATCCATCCTTCCTTCCTCTTGCACTCATGGCTGATGAATAGGGGGAATTAAGCTTATCCACATTCGATATGTCTTTATCGATGTTGTGAGACGTGCCTGCCGTACGACGACCTGCGTGCCCCCCCCCCCGTCAGCCGAGACCCGAGAAGAGTTGCATCACACGCTCGCACGGAATGCCGGTGTCCCTAGGCTTGTAATTTGAGAGTCCGCCCAAGGGTGGAACACAACACCAACGCCAACACACCAACAGTATCCCGGATTCCGGATTCCGGATATTCCGGAGAGTGGAGAGAAGCACGTCTGGATGGAGCAGACCAGACCAGAGCAGACCAGGAAAGTGATATAAAAATAAAAATAAAATGGTCGGTAGCTGCGGATGCGTCTCTCATGACCTATTTCTCCTTGGCCGAAGGAGCCGCGGGCGATTCGCCCATGAGATAACCCGCCAACAATCGACTTGGCCCATTCGGCGACTCCGGATGCCGAATGGCTGACCAGAGGAGCGAAAAGAGCATAAGGAAGGGTTCGGCAAGAGAGCAAAGTTGAAGTATAGTAGATTGCCAGGTGCCAGTCAGGATGATGGGATGGGGTCAGACAAACAGCAAGCAGCTTATGTCATATGGACGAACCGAACTGCCTTGCCTGACTTGACTGCCCGTTGCGTTGTGAACCGATCGCACGAGCGAGACGGGGTGCAGCAGCTGAAACGATTGCTTCGATCTGGCTGTACCACAGCTTCGGGACCGGGAGCTACAACTCGAACTGACAAGTGACAGACAGCTTGCGGACAGTAGCGGCAGCAGCAAAGAGGCAATCAATGCTCGCAACGTCCATGATGGGCAATGCTCGCAAAGTAGTGTACCTACACTAGGTACCTCGAGTGCACGATGGCCGGTGCTGAGTGATGCCAGGTTCCAGACCAAGTACGAAGTACATATACGTACCAGGTAGGTAGGTAGGTGGGTAGGTGGGTTACGTAAGAGAGGTCGGTTACCTACGATCAGGAATCATCTCGGCAGCACCCGGTCCAACGCGGCAAACGGAATTACGTCGGGCCCTGTCCCCTCTCGAGGTCTTCACTCTTCAGACTGGCTACGGAGTACTGGTAGTACAATGCCTACATGTAGGTACCTACCTGCCTCTTCATATTAGGCATTAGTGGATGGGACGGGGGAAATGACGATTGAACAGTCGCTCCTTATATCCGTACGTATACTTCGTAAACCAGGTACCTCGGTATCTAGGTAGGTAGCGTGAATGTTTCCCTACGGTAATCCACTTCCACGCGTATTGCGTTGCTCCCAGCCCATCCCCTGCCACTCCCGGTCCAATCCAGTCCAGTGCAACCCAGAGATCCCTTTGGACTTTGATTCTGGCTTGATTTTCCATGCAATGTCGTTTTCTCGTCGTGGCCAGACCCATCGCCTGTGCTCCACGACCATCATCACTATCCCCTTTTGGCTAGAGGCCCGACTCCACCAACAACTTCCCCTCTTGCTGCTTGCACTGCTGCATAGGTACTCCCTTCTTGGGGGAGCCAGGATACCTAGGTAGGTAGGTACCTAACCATCCACCTACCTATGTTCCATGGGTACCTGTCATGCTTACGGGAAGTCGATCGTCTCCTTTTTTTCCTGAGTCGCGCACTAGGTACCTTTCCTACCTCCCCCCCCCCCCCCAATGACCACAACCATAAACCCTCCGCCAAAACACTTTGGGCACCACGGGTGGAGCGCCGTCTTTCATTACTGACGCATTCTTTTGTTGCTATCCATACATCCCACGCCAAAACCATCCGAACTATTGCAACAAAACTTGGACAACGAGACATTCTTTGCGCCTCCTCTCGCATGTAGACTGGCTCGCCGCCGTGCCGTCTCAGACTCCGACACCGCTCGCTACCACACAGCCTCCCCGACGCATGATTGAGGCCATGGTCGTCGCCGCGCTTCCCTTTCCACCTTCGACATCGGGCTTCCTCTTCTCCAGTGCATAGTTGATTTTCCCATGCTGTCTGCATCTCGTTCCTTAACCACGACCCTTTCCGATCCCGTCTAGTTCTTCCCCGCTGCCCCTGGTTGGCCCCGAGGGACCCCTCGATCTGCCTCCCGATCCGACAAGAGCCGCACTGCGCCTTGTCCAACCCAAACTGCCTTCTGCCGAGCCACGCCGAACCGCGCCCACCAACTACTTGTCGCCAACGTCGACCGTTGCACATCACATCCTACTCCATCATGGCTGGTGTCTTGAGCAAGCGCCAGCAGGCGCGTAACGAAAAAGTCCTCCATGATCTGGTCCAGTCCGTCCCAGGAAATAACTTCTGCGCCGACTGTCAGGCACGGAACCCAGGTAAGCCCTCCCAGCCGTCCTGTCCCGCCCCGACCTTGACCCAGGACTGACAATAGTTCGCAGCATGGGCCTCATGGAGTGTAAGCGTCATTGTCCCCCACCCCGCCCTATCGAGACCACGTGGAGTCGAGTAGGATGCCGGACCACACGAGCAATACTGACAGGGGAATGCAGCTGGGTGTGTTTCTTTGCATGAGATGTGCTGCTATCCATCGAAAATTGGGCACGCACGTCTCCAAGGTGAAATCCTTGAGCATGGACAGCTGGTCTAACGAGCAAGTCGAGGTTCGTCCCAATCAATGCCTTCCTGTGAGCCTCGAGACAGCCTCCTCTAACCAATCTGGCAACTGTAGAACATGAAAAAGGTCGGTAATGTCAGGTCCAACCAGATCTACAACCCAGACAACAAAAAGCCACCCGTTCCCATCGATGCCGACGAGGCCGACTCCGCCATGGAACGCTTTATTCGCACCAAATACGTCAACAATAATCCTGCTCCTGTGAGGAAACACCACTCGGCTCTCTCTGACGAGGGTGTCCCGCCACCGCTACCGCCGAAATCGGGAGGCAAGTTTGGCTTCAGATCCGCTTCGTCGATTTTCCCCCTGTCGTCTCGCTTGAGAAAGGATTCGTCGTTGCGCAGCACCCCGAGCCCCATGGACGTTCCCGGAACCCCTCCCCCCAACGATCTGCCGAACAAACCCTCCAAGGTGTTCGGCGCCAGTGTTTCTTACGAGCAGGAAGACACGGAAAAAAAACTGGCGAGCTTGCGGGACATGGGGTTTTCTGACGGCCAGCGGAACGCAATGGTGCTAAAGGGAGTCAGCGGTAACTTGGAGCGAGCCATCGAGACCTTGGTACGCTTGGGGGAGAGTGACAGGAGGTCGCCATCATTGACTGGACATCGTGACAGCTCGTTGCGCGCGACGCGCTCGCATGCGAACCTGTCGACGTCGAGTGGTCTATCTACGGCACAGCAAACATTCAGTGACCATGCTCAGTCCCCTTCGACCGCCTCTAGCAACAACCCCTTTGACATGTTGCCGCCGCAGCCACAGTCTTCTCAGTCGACGGGCACGCTACAGAACAAGAACCCGTATGCAAACAACCCGTTCGGAGCGCCGACGCAGCAGCAGCAAGACATCGAACAGGCCTTTGCCAACATGTCCCTGGCACCTACTCAGCCTCTGTTCCCCCATCACACTGGCGGTCTCCCAGCTTCGCAACCATTCGCACAACCTCAGCAGATGTATCAGCAGTCGATGACGCCGCCGGTGCCGCAGCAGCAGCAGCAGAATTACAGCCATTCCATGAGCTTTAATAGTAATATGACGCATCCTCAACCAATGCAGCCGCAGATGACAGGTTACAACCCGTTCCTTACGAATCAGGTGCAGCCTCAGCAGCAACAGAGCCTCGGGATCAACACTGCTTCGGCGTCTGGCCCGTTTGCCAACAACCCCTTCACGCGATCTCCAACGCGGATACAGTCCCCCACGCTGGGCCAAATACCCGAGCAATCGCAAACGAGCTTCTACACCAACTCGCCGCAAACGATGTCGATGCACAACAGCAATCCGTTTTTCGCGCAGATGGGCCCACAGCCGCAAGCCCAGCAACAAATGCAGCAGCAGCAGTTTCAGCACGATCAGTACTCCTTCCAGCAACAGGAGCAGAACCCGTTCCATCAGCAGGGTCAACGGCAGTTCCAACCCCAGGGCCACCAACAGTTCCAGCAACAGGGGCAGCCTTTCCAGCAGCAAGAAACGGGCCAGCAACAATACCAAGCCCCGGCTCCTCAGCCAATGTACCAGCAGCTTCAGCAACCCCAGCGGCCGGACAAGGCTTCAATCTTGGCCTTGTACAACTACCCGCAATTGGCTCCTCAGCCTTTCACCGGCCAGACACAAACACAGGAAGCGGCGCAGGCGGAAACCACGGCGCCCCAGCATCTGAACCACGACACAAATACGTCGACGCAGACGGCAGGGAGCAAGAATCCCTTCTTGGCAAACGGAACCACATCACCAGTCGTGGCCCCGGTCCAAGGAATTGGAACGGAGGTAGGACCACGCAAGCCGGGCGTCAGCCGAGAGAGTATGGCATTTACAGACATGCAATGGACAAACGGTCGTCACAGCCCGGATGCGTTTGCCAGTCTGAGCGCGAGGCACATGTAAACCCGGCGGCAGTGCTGGGTCATAATTCTTTTTGTACATACCTGCTCTTACTTCGACTGTAAGATAATGTCATTTCAGGGAACGCTGCCAGGATCTGCGTGCCTTGATGTTGGAGAGCGCCCACAAAGATAGCGAGGTTTCTTTCTATAGAGACATCAACCCCCACTTGGGGTTATACTTTATGTGCCATCCGAATATAGACTTTTTCTTCATCTTTTTTTTTCTTCGTCTTTTTTTTTCTTCGTCTCTCTAATAATTGTGAACCTACTTTGATTAATCGATTTGACCTTGATCTCCTGACTAGTAGGCTTGCCCGCGAAGGGCATGCCCCCCTTATCGGGCAAGTCGGCCACGCACTAGACCGGGATCGGATCCTGCGATCCCCCCCACATCCGCGGGGAATGTTTCGAACCGCCGATGATGGCCGTCAACCGAAGCTCAAACGCCGGGAGAGTGACTTCAAACCCCGGGGCTCCGCGAAAGAGAACGCCAAGGAAGCTTACTTCCGTTGCAGGTAGGGAGCGCGCCCTCCCCCTCGTGTTCGACTTTCTGAAGCATCGCTCAACGCGCCGCAATACCTTGGACTGCGAAACTCGTCCCCCCATTCAAATTTAACCGACCTTCCGGCAAGTAATGGCGACCCCCGACTTCCACGCCCGTCTCCGCGCCGCCCTCTCTCCCGAGGGGGACGACGCTCCCACACTGCCGCCCGCAACGGCCCTCGCCAACGCTTCGGCCTCCCTCCCACGGCCCGGCGAGGAGGGGTATCTCTTCCCGCTGGGGACCGAGGCCACGCTCTCTCACATCGTCGACGAGGTAGTCCCGGGCCTCAACGGCCAGGCGCGGAGCGGGCGGTACTACGGCTTTGTCACCGGCGGGTCGCTGCCCGTGGCCGAGGCGGCGGACAACATCGTCTCGGCGCTGGACCAGAACGTGCAGGTGCATCTGCCCTCGCAGACAGTGGCGACGGAGCTGGAAAGTGTCGCGTTGCGGATGCTTGCCGACGTGCTGGGCCTTGAGGACGGCAAGGACGGGGAGAGTGAGGTTTGGAAGGGGAGAACCTTCACGACGGGGGCCACGGCAAGCAACATTCTCGGTCTCGCTTGCGGGAGGGAGGCGGTCGTTGAGAAACGAGGGGGCAAGGTTGGCGAGGAGGGCCTCTTGGGCGCATGCTTGGCGGCGGGGGTGAAGGAGATCCAGGTGTTGACGAGTATGGGCCACAGTTCGCTTTCCAAGGCAGCGAGCGTGGTCGGGCTGGGCAGGGCCGGCGTCAAGGAGCTATCTGCGAAAGCCGATGAACCGTGGAGGCTGGACCTGGACGCTGTGGAGAAGCACCTGGGCAGGCAGGGCGTGGCGAGCATCATTGCCGTGAGTGCCGGCGAAGTTAACACCGGTCGGTTCGCAACGGGCGGCTTCGACGAGATGAGGAGGTTGAGGGAGTTGGCGGACAGGTTTGGGGCGTGGATCCATGTTGACGGAGGTAAGTCCCGTTGCCCACCATGTTCCTCCGGGAGTGTTCTAGTGATTGACGAGTGAGCTCAGCCTTTGGTATCTTTGCGAGGGCTCTGGAGCCAACACCCGAGTTTGAGAGGATCAGAGACATGGCGTCGGGATTGGAGCTTGCGGACAGCATCACTGTCGACGGACACAAGCTCCTGAATGTGGTACGTATACGTGTTCAGGGCAGGCAACCTCCTGTGCCGATGAGATGAATTCCTGTTTGTGTGGGAAACGCTGACCGTGCGATGTCATAGCCCTACGACTGCGGCATGTTCTTCACGCGCTCCCTCTCGACCCTGACGTCCGTCTTCATAAACCCCAACGCGGCCTACCTCTCCTCGGGCCCCTCGCTAATCCCGTCCCCCCTCAACATCGGCCTCGAGAACTCGCGCCGCTTCCGGGCCCTCCCCGCCTACGCGGTGATGCGATCTGAAGGGCGCGCCGGCCTCGCCGCGATCCTGGGGAGGATGGTCCGCCTTGCGCGCCGGCTGGCGCAGTGGATCCGCGAGTCGGAGGCGTACGAGCTGCTCCCCGAGGGGGCCTGGGGCCTGGAGGAGACGCACATGGTCGTCCTCTTTCGGGCACGGGATGCGGAGGCGAACGAGGAGCTGGTCGGGCGGATCAACGCGACAAGGGAGATGTACGTCAGCGGGACGAGCTGGAAGGGAAGGAAGGCCGTAAGGGTTGCGGTAGGGAGTTGGAAAGTCGATGTCGAGAGGGACTTTTCCGTCGTGACGCGGATCTTGGGGGATGTTGCCAAGGCTTAATGTCTCGAGCGCTGGGCTAGGTATATTAAACCGTCCGCCTCTCTGGCGTGTTCCCTCGCTCCTTCCATCTCAACCACATTTCATCTCGTCCCGCCCTGCCCCGCCCGCGCTCACGTGCCGTATCTAGGCACCTGCCTATCATCGTGCTATCAGATAATACAGCACAAAAACGGATGACCATCGGTGGTACTTGATAATACAATTCGTTTAGGAAGATATCACCAACATGTGGACGACCCACTACCTCATCAAACCATGGGCTGTGGTGGTATCGCTGGGGCCATTGCTAGGTTCTGGCCTGAGTACCCTCAATTTTCGCCAATCTCGAGCCGATCGGATTCCCCCGGCATGCGCAGAAGAGATGTAGCTCCCACCCTTGGGAATGAACCCTTTAAACCTCTGGGGGGTGTTGCTGTCATCGACGTCCACTAAGAGGGTATTGCCCCCCCTGGGGTGATGTCTGTGATGGGCCACTCCACATTCCCTTGTAAATGGAGAGGCTTATGCAGGTTTACAAGTTATATCTCATCTTTGGTCTAACATATCTGGGGTTGCTACGGTGGGACCCAGTACCGATGGAACAAGTTTGTCCGATCTGACGTGTGCTCGCCCGATCCAAGGTCTTGGTAAAACGAACGGCCTCTGCTGCAATTCCACTAATAGGACAGGGGCTGAGAGGCTCCAGACTGCGGTCGTGTGGGATAAAGTGAGATTGACAATGAAAAGGCTTATGATATGTGAATGAGTGTAGACCCTGCCGGCTCCAAACCACCGTTACAAAACGAGCACGCAGGCAACCGGCTCAGTGTCACGCACAAGTAGTATTTGCAAGACCGCTCTCATGATGTTTCCAAGCACCATCTCGACCCGTTGAGTCGGCAAGCTGCATTCAGAACAGCAAGAGATGGACGACGAACCCTCCCACACTCAACAGCGACTCAAGCGGTTCGTCGAGAAGTATGAGACTCCTGGCCCAGAAACTTGTACGGGCCATATGTGCGGGGAGGTCCTCTGGCCTCCGGGCCGTTCACCTCCCCTTCTCCCTGCCACCCTGGCTTTCGGTGCATGAAAACTGAAGATAGTTTGGACGCCGGACAGATGGTACTTCTGCTCCTAGGCCGGAGACCAGGACGTACAATACACCTTGACTTCCGACTTGGCTAACTCTTGATACGATTCCTTTTCTTTGGATTGAGTATCAGCTATCGATTCTATAGCGGCTATGATAGACGTGGACATGCAGACATTTAACATTGATATCTGTGAGTTTTGTCGGTCATGCGTCTTACTGATACCCCTTCGTGGGTTCTGTCTTTCGTGACCTCTCCAACAGGCCAGCCCGTCCTAATACTCGTCCCACCCCCTACCCATCCACTTGCGGGCTCTGTCTCGGTTTCCTCGCGATATGCTAATGCAGTGCTATATGTAGCCTTCCCGCTTTATGTTGTGTGTAAAAGAGGAAAGGAGAAAAAAAAAGGAAAAAAAAAAAAGACCCATTGCCAGCTGAAACATGGTATCATTGCTGTGCTTTCTCCCCTTGAACGCCATCCCTTTCGGTGACTCGTCGTAACGCCGGTTAATAAAGAAAATAGAAAAATTGCGAAGTCAGGGTTGCCAATGATGTGATGCGTTTTTGGTTTAACTTCTCGTCATAGCTGGAGGGGGGCTTGTGACGACGGGTGGGGATGTCGACGATGTCGAGCCGGTGGCAGTGTCATAATCGGGCGGCATGGAGCCCCGGTCGCCGGCTGCTGTGCCGCCGATGGGTGGGGGTGGAGGGATGGCACCGGTCGCGGTGTGCTCGACATGGGCCATCTCGAAGCTGCCGTCACGGGGCAGAGACTGTCCCGGCTTTGCTTTGCGCTCGTAAGCGGGAGGAGCTTCGCCAAACTCGTCGAGACCTTCGTCGGTGCGTGTGGTCCAGGCCCAACGGCCATTCCGTGATGTTCGTTGACCTCTCGCTCTCGGACGATTCGCTTCCGGGTCGGAGCGGGGCCAAGGGCGCTGAATGCCAAGCTTGCGGAGACGTCGGCGGCGCTGAAACTGAACGAGTGTTCCAAGTATACCAATGGCGAGGAAGACGACGAGTGGTGTCAGTATCCAGGTGTAGGGCGTATCGGAGAATGAGAGCGAGTTGGTTGGGTGGCCGAGAGAGCCGTCGAAGGAAGACATGATGAGCGACAGGCGGCGGGAGGTAGGTTGAACGAGAGAAGCTCGCCCGGGTAGGAGAAAACGGCTGGCAACTAGAGTTGTCTTATTCGTAGCACCGCGATGGCGGGTTCAAGTACGCGTGGCCTAATGGTGGCTTTGTTGGGTTTGTCAGATAGATAGACGTGGGAATTGGAGTCTATTCTTGGGGTGAAAGGGAGGGAAGAGCTCCAGGGTTTGGATGGACCGTGTTACAAAGACGCAGAGGGCGAAACAGGAACGAAAAAAGGTAGAGGCAGCGGTGGTGATGCAAGGGCAAGCCGTTGATGGTCTTTCACGTCATCATCGCGTGGGCTCAGATGCTCGGAATCCGCTAGTGTCGCCTGGATACAGCAAGCAAGCTTTCGATAGCTGTGATGTCGCGGTGGAGCGGCTTAAACGGGATGGACGGATGAGTGACGAGCAATGGTGGGGAAACATTCGGGTTCGGCAGGAGTTTTTGGCTCTGCGAGCAAGGAGGGAGCTGGCGGGCGATGACAGGAGATTCGTATTGCCACTCGCTGTGGGTAAATCAGATCTAGTTGTTTTTTCCCCCTTTGATCCTAATTGAAGGTCGGGGAAACGCAGATCGCAAAGCCGACCTGGTTGGTGTTTGACGTCCAAGGGAGGGGGAGGGGAGAGGAGCGCGAGACAGAGACTGAGAGGTAAAAGAAAGAAAGAGAGACGAAAAGAGGGAGAGAAAGAGCAGGCAGGAGGAGGAGGAGGGTTTAGGGAGCAGAAATAGCGGCGGGGAGATATTGGATATTTGGTTGCGAATGCCAAACACGGCTTGCTCAATCAATAGTGGAGGAAGGTTTGAAAGTGGAATTCCAGCAAGCAGGGGCTGGAAGGAAGAAGCCGAGAGACGGAACCATGTAAATTACCTACCTACTCGAAGTGAGGGACCGGGGCTGGCAAGGAGGTATTATCTGTATCCGTAGTGAGCCTGAAAAAGGTCGGGGTTGGTTGGCTTGGACAAAACGGGAATGCCAGCAGGGCGAGACAAGGTTGACCAGGCAGAGAGGTTATGAATATTTGAATGAATGTGCCGGCTAGTCCACGAGAAGAAACTAATGTTATTGACTGGTCGTGACCAGGGAATCAAACCTTGGATGAAGCTCCCATGGATAGATTGACGGGCGGTACGACAGGGAGCCTAGGGCAGAAGAGGAACTGACCGACGACCTCGGGAAGTACGTGCGAATGCGGACGGCCCTCCGCGAGCGCGAGCGATTGCGAAGTAGGTATTGCTGTAAGCAGGGCAGGGCTGATTAAGAGCGAGCCGAGGGATGGACATCGGACGAAAAGCAAAGGGTCGGTACCTAGGTAGGTAGGTATTGCTACTACGTAGTACGTAGTAGGCTGCATCAAGAGAAGAAACTATTGTTCATTTGTCACTGCTGCGCACGCACACACGTAGCCAACAGTGTGATTTAGACCCTGTTTCCACCGGGCAGGCGACTGCAGCAATGTGGTCCGCCCCCCCTCCCTCCTTTGGGCAACGCTGCGAGACGGGGGTTTGCGACAATGTCGACGATGGCCCCGTCAACCTAAACGAACCCAGTCGAAACAAGAGAACATCCCTGGGCGGGCGCTGCCAGTCCACGAGCACCATTCACGGCCGCCTTGGTGTTTTTTCTTTCGATTTTCAATTTATTTTTGGCCGAGTGGGGGACCTAACGTCATAGCTAAAGTGAGCGCGTATCGTGTTTATCAGCGTCAACGTTTCCTTGGTACCTGGGTACGTTAGTAAGGGATGAACTGGTCAAACGGTGACTAAGAACCACTTGCCTCAGAAGAGAAGGGGGGGGGGGGAAGGAAACAAAAAGCTTGTACTTCGGACACTAGACAAAATACTAAGACCTCAGTCATCGCCGACGGGGCAAAAGACAACCTGCTCCCACTGTCGTGCATGGCGGCTCTGTAAAGTACCCCACCCACCCGAGGCCGCTGGACTTGGCTTTCCCAACTCAACGTCTCACATCGTTCCGAGGCTACCTACCTATCCGTAGGTCACACACGCCATGGCATCAGAGCGACGGCCACCGCCAGACATGAAAAGAAATATATCACACGCAGACGCGTAGACGATGCCTCAGCCCAGCAGCCGTTATGCAACCCTCCTCCCGCCCGCATGTTCTGCATAAACCTCTCATTGTAGCTTCTGCCTCGGCATTTCCCCCCAAGAATGCAACCGACGCCTTTGCTACCGGGTCGAATGGGACATGAGCAGGAATCTGTTTTACTCTCGTCGCGACGCAAAGAAAGACGACATTGCGTCCGCTGTTTGTTGTCGACCACTCGTCACGCGCCCCGAGCTTCATGGCCGGTCAGCTTCAACACCACCAGCCAGACTGACTGACTTGCCTGCCGCTGGCGGGCTGATCAGAGCCATGGGTGCTGGAAATTGGCTATATCCCGGGACAAGCTATTCGTGCATACATCGTAGAAAGACTGGGACTGGAGAGGTCCTCCCTGACGATCCGACCGGGTGCTGGAAATTGGCCTTGACGCATCAGGATCAACTGGAAAGCAGGTGGGGCTGCAACAGTCCGTGAGGCCGGCCAACCATATGTCTTGATTCTGCCTTGCATTCCTCCTCTCTGCCTCAGGCTCCCCAAACCCCCCTGCTGCACCCTGACAAGTTCCAGCTTGGGAATCCACTCTGCAACCACTCTACCTAATAGTAGGTACGGATAGTCGTCACGATATTCTCGATCCCCAGCACACACCTCACAGCACTCGCTTTCGCACGCGACCGCCACCAGTGTCCAGATATCCGGTACCAAATTGGTCTACAGCCCGTTACACAAATCACCTGCGGATACTTTCACTGCCCTCACCCATCAACATTCATCATGCCGCGCGCTATCAGAGGTACACTTCCCCACCACCCACCGCCTCGGCATGCTCGAGTGCATGTCCGCCTGCCAACCTTGCCCAGATATCCCCAGCCTGCTGACGTTCGCGCCCCGCCTTCCTAGGAGTACTCATCGAGTGCGACCCCTCCATCAAGTCCATCATCGTCAACATCGACTCCAATAACCACGACTACATCATCGAGGACCTCGACGACCAGCACGTCGTCGTCAAGGAGAACATGGTCGCCGCCCTCAAGAGACAGCTCGACGAGGTTGGTTTCCATCTTACCTTCTTGCCAACCACTTGGGCACTCGGGAACATGCACGCTAACCGAACTTTACTTGCAGCGGTTGAAGGAGACGCAGCAGCCCGACGAGAGTTCAGACTCTGATTAACCAAAAAGACGCCGATCCGTGATATCCTTTTTTTTACATACTTTTTTTTTTTTTTTTTTTACTTTTACGCATAACCTTCGGACGCTCCCGCTTACTCTATAATCTGCTGCGACCCTTCGTCTTTACTGTTCGTTGCCATGTGACACGGCTGTGCCAACCACACCATGACCATGCAACTCTACGCGATGTCGTCTTGGCATCATGGCGCGATCGCACTCTATTATACATTCAAGGGGATCACATCTCCTCTATCTATAATGATGCCCAGTCGAGGACCTAGTGAGGGCACAAGGATGGCTTAGAGGTCATAAGCCCTGGGCGCGCACAGCTCGCGTCTACCCACCATGTCCAAATAAGGCTGGTATAGATGACCCTGCCGTAATGCAGGCTTCGTAGACGTGTACGTCAGAGCTTCTCGAATGTGGGCTTCGTCTTGGACAAACCAGACATCAGGGCAGTCTTGAAATCACTGGACTGCAACATGGCCGAGTTCCAAATAGTCGTGTAACGCAAGTCTGAGCAAAACATTAGCACAATTCCAGAAACCAGGCAGATTAGTACCACCGATGAACAAAGACGAGAAAAATGTCCCAGACCCGGAAACAAACTCGGGGTAAAGTAGAACTTACTCTCCTCGACCGAGTGATCCCTCGCGTGGTTTAACAGCTCTTTGGTCCCCTGCACCGCCACGGGGCTCTTCCCCGCAATGAAACCCGCGAGCTTCAGCCCAGCCTCGACGGCCGCATCCTTGGACTCAAAGACCCGGCTGACGAAGCCGACGGACAGCGCCTCGTCGGCGGAGAAGTCGCGCGCTGACAGGCAGACGTCTTTGACCCACGAAGTGCTCCCCACGAGCTTGGGCAGCCGGCTGAGTGTGCCCAGGTCGGCGGCGATGCCGATGTCGATCTCCTTGACGGCGAATCGCGTGTTGCGCGCGCAGATGCGCACATCGGCGCAGCACGAGATGTCAATGGCGATACCGATGGAGATGCCGTGGAGGACGCAGATCACAGCTGGGTTTTCCGTGTAAGCTCGCCTATCCCATCATCATACAGTGTCCTCGTTCTTGTAAGATTCAGGCGAGGAGGGGGGTTACGGGGTGAGGCATGAGAAGACTTGGGGAGCACGACGTACGCTTCTCGCACTTCTCCGCCGCGGCAATCGCTTCCTGGAACTCGGAAATGTGCCGACGTAGGGCGGTCGCGTACCGCGAGGGATCGCCGCCGAGCCCCGACCCGAGCGGGCTGTTGCTGGCGTCCTGGACGTCGAGGCCGGCGGAGAAGGCGCGGTCGCCGACGGCGGAGAGGACGATGGCGCGGACGTCCGGGTCGTGACTCAGGCGGCCGAAGATGGTGCCAAACTCCCGCCAGACGGGCTCCGAGAAGGAGTTGAGCTTCTGCGGGCGGTTTATCTGGACGTGAACGACGAAGGGGGCCGGCGAGGTGACGAGGAAGTGGGTGTAGGCGTGATCCTTGAAGGTTGCCATGGTAAGTGTCGGGATGCTTGTGATTGCCGTGCCGTCGAGGGGAGTCTTTCGATGTCTTGGGATGATGGCGGCTCGAATCACAGGCGACGGCTTTTGCGAGTGTGATGTTGCGACGGAGAGTTTTCCCGCTGCCCTGCTGGCGGTTTTGCTGGCGGTCGCTGACGGCACCGACCGAGTTGCCGAGGCACGTCGCGCACGTTTTCCCCGACTCGGCTGCCCGTGGGGGAGGGTGGCTGCCCCGCGCTTCACCTGGGGTAAGTCCCGGGAGTGGGGTTAGCGGTGATCACACATCGTTCCTGCGCCTCTTGCTGCTGAAGACTTCCCCACCCCTCCCAGCTTTTGTATTTTTGGAACCAACTACCTACATGTCATGGCCTGCGGTTCTTGTTCAGACACCAACGCTTTCAGAACACAATCGCCGGGGCTGCATGAAGTCTCCAGCGGAGGAGGGCGTTGACCGGATAGGTCATTCGACGACACTATACGACTTGTTTCAACGTTTCGTAACAATCACGATATCATTCAATTAAGCGTGCAGTGACGGATGTCCAGTTCACTACCTCTTGTTCTCCCCTGACGTATCTCATTTGTCAACCTACAGAGTAATCAACAAACCGGCCCCATGCATATTTGGTACCGTCGGCCGGGCGATAGCCAGGGAGCTCCGTCTCCGAGCCGGAATCCTCCCATGGCCCCAATATATGCCTGGTGACCACCTTCTCTCTTTACTCCCTTGCAAGAGAGTTCCTGAGTAACCTCGGCCAGGCCTAGTGGCCAAGAGGTCTTTAAATCGGGGCGAGAATGAAAGTCTTCAGAGTTTTATATTTGGATATGGCGATGGACCGGGAAAACTGCCGAGCGAGCTTGTCCTTGCAGTGGAAAGAAGGTTTCAGGGAAGCAGGTTTAACTTGCCGTGTCCCTTCATATACGGAAGCAGCTGGTTGCTGTTTATTTTGCAGAACCAAGCCGAATCTGAGTAAAAAGCCCAACCCAAAGGAAGGCGCCACTTACCTTCTGCCGCGCCGTGTTTCTCCATAGAAAGATCTCGCCCAAGTCAAATGCTACGTGGGGAAGGCACACATGTGGCCGAAGTTCATTCTATCCACTTCTACCCAGCAGTGTAGCAAATAACTTCACCCCTTCAACACGACCGTGGTCTGCCTGCCCCGACAGTTCTCAAACACCCTACGGGAACTCTCCTATATCCTCACACCGATATCGTTATCATCACCGCTCTCTGTCATCGTTCGATGCAGTCTCTATACTGAACCCCATGTCTTAGGCTAGAAAGACTCGGTCTCTGATACCCCAGGCCGAAGTTCAGCGCCTTGCAGATCCCACTTCTTCAGCCTACAAGCACACAATCTCGCGACGATACAGCTCGGCAGACAATCTTGGCAAATGACATCCCCGTAGACTGTCATCACGCTATTCTGACTCGCCGCCGACTACTGTTTGTCTTGGATTTTACCGCCCCTCTCAGACAAATCTCGTCCAGAGTTCACAGCCCACCGCGGAGACGCCAGCGATGATTCCAAACTTCTTTTACCCAACCAAAGCTGTTGACACTATTGTCCAAGAGCAGTTCAAAGCCACTGACGGATTTGAAGATACCCCATCACCCAGTCTCAGACCTTCCATGGCGAACCTATCGTTAAATAAACCGGAGAAGGACGTTGCCTCCAGCATTTCCTCGACCAGAAGCGGCGTCTTTCGTCATGCGCTCCTCAAAACCTCTTCAGGGCGCCCAATGATAATGGAAAGAGACTTGCCTGTGCCTCCCATTCTCAGCCGTCAAGCCAGCAACAATCTTCTTAAGGGCGAACAGAAAGACATAGTTGGCTACGAAAACAAATCGAAGATGGGGATTCCATCCAGGAAGTACCCGCACATTCAAATGCAGGACAGCTCTCCCCAGTTTGGCAGCACACAACGTATGGATTCCACAGCGAACACCGACCCGACGTTTCAGCGAGAGCCTGTCTGCGTTGATCCCCTTATACACCCAGACCAGTCGCATATCAAAGTCCACCACCACGGTCTTCTCAAAGGTGCTGACTTTTGTGACACTGGTGTTCCTGGACAACCAATCGCTCAGCAACCAGATGAGCTCTTCGGCTCTTCTTCGCCATCTCCTATTTCCTCGGAGGCAGAAGTAATCCAGGCCAAAGTTCGCCGAGCAATGACAGGCGATGACCTATGTCTTTCTACTGTCAACATCACCCTTCCAAAGCACGGCGGTCACAGTCATGCCATAAAGGTGCGGCCAGCATTCAATCTACCCACCTTCCATTACCCTATCGTGGACCAAGAACCCCAATATTCTCTTGCAACCTCCAAGGTGCGGCCATTCGACCCGGCCAAGGAGCATCTGCTCTCCGACAATAGCACTGTTGAACCGCCAGTTTTGAACGACACTGATGAAGGCCCTGCGAATATTCCCGTCTCTAAAGTACGACCGTTTACTCAAGAACCACCCCAATTAAACCGCCACGCAGGACACCAGTCGGTATCCAAGGTAAGGGCTTTCAGTGACGAGTCTAAAACCAACACCGAGAAAGACCGAGAGAAGTACTTTGCCATTGGTTCAGAAAAATCGACGAATCACGAGCCTGCCAAAGTCGACGAGGCACAATCACCCATCACACCGCACTCCAGAGAAAGCACCATCGACTATAAACGCACCGCACAGTGGCTCCGGGGTCTAGTGAAGAATCAAAATGCACATACTACACAGTTGACAAAAAGGCCATCCAAGACGACGCGCCCAACTTACGCTGCACTGAGGGACTCTCCAGGGGATGACCCGTCCCCCAGCAAGATAATTCGGCAAACAACCCTACCACCTTCAGATGTGGAGCCTGGTATTTTCCAAAGTACTGTTGGAGAGCTAGAGCGTCTGCTGAATGAGGCATTGTCGTTAGCATCACGGGTTGCAGATCATGAAGAAGCAAGGGCTCCAAGGCCCGAGCGATTCCCTCGCTATACCTCGAATGGGGTGATATCGCCGGCAATTTCATTTGACGAAACTTCGCAATTCTCGGAAGTCGATTTGAATGAAAGCAGGGAACCAAATAAACAATCCCAAAAGCGCGCCGCCACTTTTCCAAATACTGCTTGGCCCACTGTGCGTGGTGTGGACGATCTGTACAGAAACATTTCTCTGACTCCACAGACAACAGAGCTTGAGAATATTCTTGGGCGGAATACCAAGACCCATCAAGTCACCAGGAAAATTCAACGCAGACGAAAGTCTCGTTCCCGTCAAGCTGGTCCTATACCAGAGAGAATATCAAGCAGGAAAAAGAGCAAAAGTGTGACGAAAAAGAAGCGCACCACATCGAATCCAAAAGTTAGACCACTACCTAGAGACTCAGATGTATCCAGTATGGATGGGTCTAGCGAATCCTCCCTCATCGACTATTCAAATCACTTTCAGACTCAGAACGAGGGCAATGGACCAGCTCGTCCTAGAGCGAGCACCAAGCGAGTTCCCTTTATGTCTCGGAATACCGGCGAAGATGCTCTTCCAGAAAGAGACATGGCAGGTCGTCCAATTCATAAAAGCCGTGGCATTAGTCTGCGAGGAAAGTCCCATGTCAGCCTGCGTGGCGTACAAGCTTTCAGTCTGGCCAAGTCGAAACGACGCCAACAGATTGCTAGAGACTGGTCCCCGGTCCGAAAGAGAGCGATCGCGGCGGTGGCTTGCATCAGCACAGCGCTCACCGGCCTAATCATCGGAATCTACGCCGGCTTGGTACCGTCGCTACAGTACTACATCCTCGACACGAGTCACTCAATCATCAATGGAAACGTTGGCTGCTTTCTGGGTATGGCTATCCCGACATTTTTCTGTTGGCCGCTCCCCCTCGTGCATGGACGCAAGCCATACATCACATCCGGTCTGGTCTTGTCAATGCCGCTACTCTTCCCACAAGCCATAGCTGTCAGTGCCCAGCGATTCTACAACCTCACCGGATAGCGGATGGTGTTGCTGGTAACCCGTGGTTTCATGGGTGTCTGCCTTGGTTTCGCGAGCATGAACTTCCATTCCATACTCACAGACCTCTTCGGCGCATCTTTGATGAGCAGCAATCCTCACCAGGAAGTTGTCGATGACTTCGATGTAAGGAGACACGGCGGTGGTATGGGCGTCTGGCTAGGTATCTGGACGTGGTGCTACATTGCTTCTCTCGGCTTTGGATTTTTGATCGGCGCAGCGGTGATTGACCAGCTTCAACCAGCCTGGGGGTTCTACATCAGCATCATCCTCGTGGCTGTGGTCCTGTTGTTAAACACCCTTTGTCCCGAAGTACGCCGCTCCGCCTTCAGAAGATCAGTCGTTGAAGTCAGAACCGGTTCTGATATCACTCGGCGCGTTGCTCGGGGTGAGATCATGATGCACCGTGTCAAAACCGGCCCAAGATGGTGGGGGCAGGAGCTGTATCATGGAGTCGCTCTTTGTTTCGAAATGCTACGACAGCCCGGATTCGTAGTCATTGCGGTTTACTCAGGCTGGATATACGCTCAAGTTGTTCTCGTCATCGTCTTACTGGGTTCACTATCTTCAAGGTTTTATCGAATGCGTTCTCCATACGTCGGGCTCATGGTTGCTGCGATGGCATTCGGGGCTGTAATTGCAATACCCTTCCAAAAGGCGAGCTATTTTTCCAGGGCAAGACACACACAAGTCAACACCAGCCGCTTGACGTTCGACAAGCAAATCACATGGACATCGCATCTCCTCCGCCGCTCCGTGTTCGCCATCGGTCTCCCTCTGGCAGGTCTTGTCTACACCTTGGTATCCACAGGCCCACCGATGCATCCTAGTGCTCCCGCCATTGTTGCTGCTGCGATTGGCTTTCTTTCATGTCTGGCAATCTCGGAATGCAACGGACTCATTATGGAAACGTTTGATACTTCAGATCTTCAACCTGGGATGATGGGCCGTCTACCAGGCAACTCTGACATCGCCCGAAAAAAGAAGAACTATTCAGCCTACCCTCGTGTCACCGCCGGGTTCGCCGTCTGCCATACTCTGGGATTCATGTTTGCAGCTGGGGCCACCGCACTCGGCGGCATGGCGCAAAGGAACCTGGGTCAGAGGGCAGCTACTGGAGTGGTTGCCGGTATCTTGTTTGTTTTTACAGTCATGCTGTTGCTAGCTCTGGCTCGCTTCAAAGAGGTTGTCATTATTCCCGAGAGCAAAACTGAAGAGATGGACAAGTGGACTGCCGCCCGAAGACAATCTATTAGACGCCGTGACTCACTACCCGCCGGTACAGTCGACGACAAAGATATCATCGCCGGAGAAGAGCCATGGCGTCCTTTTATCGTTGGGAATCCCACCAGCAAGACGCGACGAGTCAACGTGCTCGAGCTGGGCAGCATGTCGCGCTTCACCGAGATCAGAAAGAGGAACAAACTCATTGATGATAACCAGCATCTCAATCGAGCCGCGCTAGATGCTGGACTGGATGCTCTAGATGACCAGATCAGCGACATCATGAGTGACATCGTCAGTGATGCCAAAGATCTCGTGGGAGGAAACAGCCAACCGAGCCAGCGCACTTCTCGCTCGCGGCGGAATCATCGAAGTGCCACAAGCGAGGGGAGTGGCCATTCATCTATTGAGATGACTTCAATGGATGACAGACCGTCACTCAGCGGTCATCGTCAAAGAGCCCCACCTGATATCTATAATAAGCGAGAGTGTCTTCGGGGCCAGATGGTGAAGGAGGAATGAATGCCAAACTTGAAGGACGTCAGGGGCTGGGTGGCTGCTATCCAGGAATGGACAGTGTCCCGCAGTCATTGCTACGTGGAAGTGTCCATGGTCTTGTGAGTGTGGGCTTCTATTGCAGAAAAAGAATGAACTTCCTAGAGAATAAAGTATACAGATATGACGGGCAAAGGTTAGAATGAAAAACCCTTTGAATTCTTTTCGAAGACCAACTCCTTTGATGCCATGCTTCTCTTCTCTTGTTCTTGTTCTTCTCTCCCTCTCTTCCTCTATGCCTATAAGACCATCTTTGGTGCATTTTGAACATATTATCTGATCTGGTGAAAGTGTGTTTGTGTTGGCAAAGAAAAGCATTAATGGTACAAGTACACCAAGGAAAAACGCAAACTGAGTCTCGTAGAAAGAGAGAGAGTGGGTATAGATAAAAACTTCGTCTTCGTCATGTATAAGCGGGAAAAAGAATGCAATGGAAATAAAATAGTAGACCTCGGGTGGGGTCCTTCATAAACCCCTCCCCCTCCCCTTGGCGCGTAGGGGAACCTCATCATTGCACGTTCAGGAACAAGTCGTCACCGCGCCGCGTCGGGGTCAGCTTCGGCTGCCAGGTCGGCGTGCTGGGCAGGTCCCCTTCTCTCGCGCCGGAGCGGGACGGGAACCCGGGGGTCGCCGGGAAGAAGGAGTTGGGCGAGAGGAGCATGTCGGTACCTCCGCCGGCCCCGGCGGCGCCTCCCGGCCGGGAGGGTCGCCAGTTGGGGCTGTGTCGAATGCCGGCCGTCGGGAGGGCGAGGGCAGCGGCGCGCTCGTGGCCGAGGCGCTTGGACAGCAGTGAGGACGTCGTCGAGGGGGTGGCGACGGAGGGGGACGTTGCCGGCGGGGAAGCGGGGCGGGGCGGGGGCGCCGTCGTGGTCGGCGGCGATGGCGACGCCGACGACGACGCCGGAGACGGGGCGAAGGTCGGCGCCGGACGTCGTAGGGCCTGGGTCGCGATGTGGTGAGGGGACGGTGAGCCGGGTGAGGGCCGTGCGGGGAGCTGTTGCTTCGGCGGCGGGGACTGTTCGGGAAGCGTCGTAGGCTGGAAGGATTGCCTTTTCTCCTGGGAGCGACGGCGCTGGCGCTGCGAGAACGACTGTTGGCTTGGTTGAGGCCAGGGCTGTTGCTGCTGCTGTTGAGAAGGAAGAGACGAGTAGGCGGGCTGCTGCTGCTCCTGTTGCTGCTGCTGCGGCTGGCTACGAGGAGGGGGGTTCCCCCAGAGCGCCCTGTGTACGGTTGCTGACTGAGGTTCCCTGTTCAGGGGCGCTTGCTGGACCTGCGCCGTCTGGGGTTGTGGGTGTGAGTTGCTGCTCTCGATCCGCGGGCGCTGAGGCTGGAGAGGCGGGGGGTAAAGGGGGCGCATCTGCGGTGGTCTTTGCGTCAATGCAGAGTCCCGCTTTTGCTCCTGCTGTCGACCTTCCGCCCGCGGAGGGGGGGAGGGAGTCACGAGGCGGAGCGAGGGCGAGCCGGTGGCTACTCTGTTCGGGTCGGCGCCGGCGGGACGGGGCCTGGCGATGGGTTTGCGAGGCACGTCGTAGCTGGCTATGTACGGACCATTCCGGGCTTGCTGTTGCTGCTGCTGCTGCATCATGCCCAAGGTGGGACTGGGTTGGCCCGGAGGGAAACCACCGTAAGTTCGCGTGGGAGGAGCCAGGAGGCGGAGGTGGTCGTTGCGCGGCTTGGAGCTCGTGCGCCCAGGGATCGGAGGGTAGGACACTGGCGAGCGGCCGCTCGGGGATGCGTTCGAGGCCGGGGACTCGACGACGGGGGAGAGGCTGCTCTGCTCGATGACGGGCTCGGGATCGCCGCTCGCGACGGAGGAGGCGATCGTGGTGGAGGAGGCCTGAGAGTCGTGGCTGTCGGAGCGCTTCGGGGCGTTGACGGTGCTGGCCATGGCCGCGGTTCCAGTGACAGCGCCGGTCGCACCGGATTTCGCGTTTGAGGAGCTACGGCGACCGAGTGAGTTGCTTCGACGGCGCGGCGGCTCAGGGTGGGAGAAGGACATGCTCGGCACCGGGTGAGATACACCGCCGGTCTGGATTCCAGTGTTGGGCCGCGTGGTGCCTTGAGAGTACACGCTCGAAGAGCGCGACTGGTGTGCCGCTGGCGGGGCCGCGAGGGCACCGGTACGGACGATCTCCGCTGCGGGTAGAAGGAGCGGGGGCGGTGGCATGCGAGCGGCGGAGGGAGCGACGGGGCTTCCACCTCCGTGGCCCATGCCTGCTGTGGTGGCCGTGGCTGCGAGCATGGCGGATTCGGCGTACGAGGGCTTCTCTCTGGCACCTCCTCCCTCGCTCGCGCCGGAGGCGTCAAGCTCGGCGATCTGTGCCATGTGGGTGGCGCTTCTAGAGTCTCCGAGAACCCAGTTGCCGTTCTTGTCGGCGACGTAGAACGTCGCCGACTTGGGGTTGCTTCCAACCGTTGCAGATGGCGGCCTCCAGATACTGTTGGAGCGAGCAGAGCGTGCCGAGGTGATGGCGCCGTCTTCTTCAAACTCGGTCATTGTGCTCTCTCGAGCATTGTAATGGCTCTTTGGCGGCGCGGTGAGCTTGGCCGTCTTGAAGATCTGGGAATTTGTCGGCTGAGATCCTCTCTGCTCCTGCGGTCGAGGGGGTGACGAGGACGAGAGGTCGATTTGTGGGATCTTGAGGGAGAGGACCGGCTTGGGGGATGAAAGCGAAGGCTTTGCGGGGAGAAGTCGCGATGTAGGCCGGTTCTGTTGCGGAGGTGGGGGACGGAGAGCGGGGGGCGGGCTCTCGGGTCGTGACACCGCAAGCCCAACCGCCCCAGGCCACCAGCTCAAGCGGCCGCTCGCCCGGGTGCGCGCCGCGGGAGGCGGACGCGGCGACAGTGAGGGCGACTGCGAGTGGTGGACGGGTGGAGAGATGTGGAAGATGTTTGCAGGGCCTTCTTGGGGGTGGAATTCCCACGAGTCCTTCTCGCGCACGGGGAAGAAGCCCGTCTTTACGTCTGGGTAGTTCTTTCGCCGCCTGCGACGGGCAAGGCATATCGCGAGGATGGCGAGGCCAAAGGCAGCCGCAAGACCAACAGCCAGACCTGCCACTTGACCCGTGCCCAATCCCTCGGAGGGCCCGGAGTTAGCTTCCTCAGCTCCTGGCACCGGAGCAGCGGTTTCGGATGGAGTTGTAGTGGACGATGGCGGCAAGGGAGGCGTTGTGATTAAGCTGCTCGATGTGGAGATACGAGAGGTGTTTGACCTGGTGAGGGTCGTGAGCGTCTGCGGGATGGATGGGGTGCCTGTTGCCGAGATGAGGGTCGTTGGGAGGGAAGTGGTCGTGTGGATCGTCGACGTTGGGGGTATAAGTGGCGTGGTAGCTCTCGGAGGCACAACAATGATGCCTCCCGATGTGGGCAGAATCAAGGTCGCGATGATGGCTGTGTGCGTAGGCCGGATAGCACTCGGCTGGTGCGCACACATCTGGTATGCCGCGTCGATGACAGTTTCTGGCAGGGGTTAGTTGCTGCTGCTCTCGCGTGGGAGGAGTATATAGACATACGGGGCGCATCGCTTTCGCGGCAAAACCCAATGCTCTTCTCCGCCACGATACATTGCACTGCACCCTCCCCAATAGTGAGGCCAGAAAACCCGGCAATTGCGCAAAGGCATTGCAAGGAGGGCGCGCTGCCGCAGGTGCTGATTGCATAATTGGCGCTCAGGTGAGAGCGAAAGCATTCGCGGGCACACGATGGCACGAATCTTGTAATCTCGCTCGACAGGTTGAACGTCGTTGCAGTGGTGAAGGAAGCCAACAGAATGAGAGAGAGTATCCAAAGAAGAGGCTTAGGGGCCATGGTACGGGAGGACATCTAGTAACCCAACATTAGTATGATTAGAGAGGGTAGCCTGGAATTCTTCTTACCTGAATGAAGGTCCCATCCTTCATACGGTCCAACAGTAACAAAGAACTAAGTCTTGGAGATGTAAGTGTTTTGCGAATCAATTATAACCCAGTGTCTCTACGTTGAACACCCAGAGCACGACTAGGATCCCCCTTTAATAAGCAGGCAGGGAGTCTAGTACACGAACCTATCAAGAGAGTATACTTATTAGGTTATTAAGAAACGACCTGCGTCCCAAGAATGTAGTGATATAATAATACAAGGAGCTGCTCGATGCTTTGGGCTTCGGAAGGTTGGAAGCTGAGCGGAACAGATCTAACCGAAGACGAGAAAAGAAAGAGGCTATTCCGAGCAGCGCAGCCAAGATGCAGAATGCAAAAGGAGAAAGCTGGGAAGAAGCTAAAAAGAAAATTAAAAGAGATGCTGTTGAGGCTCAGCGGTGGGGATGCAACTCTTCATACATTGATGGAGAACACCAAAAGAGAAGGAGACTGGACATGTCGGCGGGCGAAGGGGCAGACGAGGACGGACAGAGGCTGGTACCCCCCCGCCCCTTCCGTCATTCTAGATGCTGCCGCTCACTTGAGCTGGGCAGCCCCGACGCGCTTCTTCTCCGCCCGATTCCATTCGAGCACAGCAAACGCTCGTTACTACGAAAGTGGACGACAGGTAAGCAGTCCAATGCCCTGCCTCACCATGCCGCCAACCTGCAGGACTGGGTTCGGTTCCTGCAGTCGCGTACAGCAGCGACCCGGTATGCTCGCCAGCCGCTGCTCGAGATCTCCAGGAATGACGACGAGCAGACAATCCGGGAGACACCCGGCCCAGTTTCGGGCGTCTGTCATCGATGCTGGTTGGCTGAGCGAGTCGCTATTTCGGGGGGTTTGCAGTTGTATCTCAGATCCAGAGTTGTGTGGCGGTCCAGGCCAGAGTGCAACCCTTCCTGCATGGTCTTCATGCCGGGGTAAATAAAGGTCGAGCACCCAATCAATATGCACACGTCAGACGGGTATATGCACTGTCAAGTGGCTGAGGTTATCCCACACTGCCAATTTTAGGCGCCCGGTCTGCCCCTTAAGCGCGGAGGTTGAACGAGAACCAAAGAGGTCGCGTCGAACCGCCCCCCAGCCCGGCGCCAAAAGAGTCGGCCGCATCACGTGATGCAGATCTGTGGCATCCCAGGCCAATCAACGCAAGGGCTGCCACCCAGCGTCAGACTTGTCGCCGTCCACTCGTTTCCTGGCGGCCGTTCCATGGTGTGACTGCCTCCTCCGTTTCGGAAATCGTGACTTCCAGGTTGATGGATGTGATTGATTCTGCAGTTCTCTGACGATAGCAGTCCACCATGCGACGCGGGCGATTACAGTTGCGCGTGAATGGATGCCACCACCACTGAGCTTGACACGCTTCTCCAACGATAGCAACCGCCGCGGGGGATGGATGCAACATCACAGCTTGCTGGTCACATATAGACCTCATCACTCTCTCGGCGTTTTGCTTTCCCACGGACTCTGGTGGTGTAGTCTTCGTAGTACTGCTGTTACCCCCAACCCGATTCTGCCTATCACCGGGTGTTTCGAATTCGCCAGTACTTGGTCCCTTCAAGGCAGATGGCCTCGGCATCTCCTGACGCACCGTCCTTTATGCTAAGTGCATGATGCGCCGTGGATACATCAGCTGCTTTCATACCGTGTGAAGATTTCAAACGTTTGCCTGAGTAGCCGTACGGGCTAAGTCAAACCAGCGGAACAGCCAACATCGTCAATGCTCGGGAATTTCCATTGTCTTCTTTTGATGGTATCTTATTTTATCGTAGCCTCTACTGAGAAGCCTCTGTTCTCAGTCGAGGACCTCCAAATCCACATCATATCCGAATGTGGGAACTCTCGGGCCATAGAATCTTATGTGTCTGAACAACCACATCACAGCCACTTCTCCTCCTTGCTCGTATTCTTCGTTAACGCACGAAGCGGCGACAAACTAATACTAAGACTTGACGCTAGCATCGGTGGCGCTTGGGGCGAATGCGGCCTTGGCACGGTTGGACTTGATAACTTTCTGCACATCCTCCTCCGTCTGGTCCCAGTCGTTGGCGTCAAGCTGCACAAGGTCGATCTCGTACAGATCCGCAATTTGCTTGAGGGCGTAGAAGCTCTTCTTGTCGTAGACGAAGCTGATGCTGACACCAATGCGTCCGAAACGTCCAGTGCGGCCGATACGGTGCAGGTACGTCTCAGGGTCGGGCTCCGAGTCTCCACGTCCCTTCATAGGGATGTCATAGTTGATAACCATTGACACGCTGGACACATCGATACCCCGTGCTAGCACGTTGGTGGTGAGGAGAACCTTGGACTGCCCGGACCTGAATTCCTCCAGCAGGCGGTCACGTTCGGGACCATCCTTGGCGCCGTGAAGGGCCGACACACGATGGCCATCGGCCTCCATCCGTCGCTTGATCTCGTCGGCGCTCTCGCGGGTCTGAGTCGAGTTGTTAGCTTGCGTCACAATTTCCCCCACTACGTGAAAAGATCCCGAACGTACCTTGACGAAGATGACGGAGGAGCCAATGGTCATGAGACCGTAAAGCTTAACGAGGACCTCGTACTTGTCCTGCTCGGTCGGACAATCCATGTACATTTGAGAGATACCCTTGACGGTGAGCTCGGTGTGCTTCAGACGGATTTGATCGGCCTTCGGCGCAAACTTCTCAGCAAAGCCCATAACCTTGTCCGGGAAGGTGGCAGAGAAAAGCAGGATCTGGATGTCGCGGGGGAGCATACTATTTGGTGTTAGCCTGATGTGTTATGGCGAGGTTTGAAGGTGAGCCCTACTTTTTGACTCGGACACACTGATCACCGAGGCCCTGCTGGTCAAGCATGTTATCGGCCTCATCAATAACAAGGAGCCGAAGCTTCGACACATCCAGCTGGCGTCTGCGGATGATATCCATGACAGTACCGGGAGTGCCAACGATGACGTTGGCTCTGACAGGGGCGTTGCGCTCGAGGGCGCCAGGAAGAGCTGCGGCCACTCTAAGACCCTCGCAGAAGCTACCAATCTTGCCCACGACTCCTTCAATCTGACGCGCAAGCTCACGACTAGGCGCAAGGATGAGAGCTTGGGGCTGCTCGAGCTGGGTATAGTCGACACGGGACAGAGTGGTAACGACGAAAGCAGCGGTCTTGCCTGTTCCAGATTGCGACTGGGCGATCATGTTGCGGGGAGGGTCGGCGAGCATCAGGGGAAGAGCCTTCTCTTGGATCTTGGAGGGCTTCTGGTAGTTGAGGCTAAGGAGACCGCGAAGGATGGGCTCGGGCCTAGGAGATTGAGAGATCAGATATGCTTTCCAATGGCCGGACTAGGCCACTCACAGGTTCATGTCGCTGAATGTAGCAGCAGAGTAGAGAGTGCTGTTCTGGTCGGACTGAAGGTCGCCCAGCTTAACGTCGACATCGTAGGTGTTCTCAATCAGACCAGATCCACCCAAGGTTTCAAGGTTGCCGTCGACCTGGGGAACCTGCGTATCCTCAGCCGCGCCCTCGGAAGGGGGCTCCGTGATGCGACTGGCGAGGTCGGCCATGTTTGTTGGTACCGCGCGTGGCCGTAAGGGTAGCCTGAAGGAGTAATGTTGGAGCCCGAGTGGGGAGGAAGTTGCGAGGATGCGGCGTCGTACCTAGCAGGTCGGTCGCAGGTAGAAAGTAGCGGTATGCACACTTCACCTGTACGGCTCCAGCAACAAGTTAGCTGATGGCAAGAACGAGGGTTGCAAGGGAACGGATCGCGATGGATTAGAGGTAAGAAGAGTAAGTAGAGAATTTGCACTCACTTGCACTCGAGCCTCTCCCTCCTTGGCTGTGGTTGCAAAAAGTCGGACGAGTGACTGGCGAGGGGGGAATATTGTTTGTGTTTTTTTTTTCTTTTTTGCAGTGGCAGTTCGGCAGCTCTCACAGGACGAGATTCTGGGAAGCTATGTCGTCTGTCACTCTTGCCTGTGACGACCAAAAAGCACTCCCAAGTTGATGGAGGGGCTACGCGGGGCACGTTATGGCCTAACAATCCAGGCCTAAGCAGCACGTTGCGGGTTGCTTGTCTAGGTAGTCCGTACCGGCCTCCAAGTTATCTACCTACACAAGGTACCTTGTTTCCGATAATTTGCCGGCCAGGTACGAGGTAGGTAAGCCACCTGGCGGGGGAGAGTCACTTGTCTATTTTGACCTGCGTGACATGTTTCATTCATTCGTTCCTTTCGTTTCTTGGGCCGCGATACCAAACAAACCATTGCACCCAAGAGCCTCACGCCAAGGGGTTCTCCTTGCTCACGTGCTCTCTGTTTCATTACTATACAATGCCTTTCATGCAATTGACATGGTAATGCTGGAGGGGTTCCGAATAGCATCGCAATGGGACCTGCTCACGGCCTGGCGCATGCGGCATACATATGTGACGAGCAGCATAAATGCATGCGTTGCCCCTCAGTACATCATCATCGTACACTACGAAGTAAATATGGACACTGCTTGTGTTGCTTGGAGCACCCGAATGCGAAACCCCTGCTCTCAGGCTTCAATTGGCACCAATGGGTGGGGTTTTAGCGGCTGGCAACTGGTCTGGTGCCCCCACCAGCCCACCACAAGCCCCTTCAGCGCACACCTTGTGGACCGAGCAGCCGGAGAAGCCACGCCAGTGAGGCAGGCCTGGGAGGGAGAAGGTTCCAGCTGGCCAAGAAAAAGGAGCTGACGACGTTCCCCGTCCGATGTCCATGCCCGCTGTACTACGTATGATGGGTAAGTATAAACTCCCTAGCAGGTAGTGTGGAGTTGTGACCCACGTACGAGAGACTCTCACTGGCCAAAATTATGATAGATGTGCACAAGAAGCTCAAAGTACCGTCGCTGGGATAATCAAAAAGCACGGCCACATTTACCTGACGAGGGGGTTAAACTTTGGCCCGATACCGTAGTAGGCCCCATCTTTGGCACCAAAGAAGGTACCCAACAGGCCAAGCAAGGCAGGTGAGGTACATTACATTACATTAACTATCTACCTACCTACCTATCTACGTCGAGTACGTGGGCGCAGCGCAGCGCAGAGCAGCATCGACCTCGCTTCCCTCGTGTCTCTCTGTCACCAACCAAGATCGCCGTCTTTAGGGGCTTTTACCCGACAAGGCGAGGCATACATACGACGTTTTCCTTTACTCACTTTACACATTATTCGCGCGGCCTGCGCCTCCTGCTAGCATTCATCTTCTGTTTCCGCCCAGCCCGGTGTTCTTCCAGTTTTAGCCGCTTTGGCGGGGTTAGCCTTACACGATTGCTCCCCCACTGCGCTGACCTCCTGCTCGGGCCGCAGCCCACCGTTGGTGGTTTGTCCTCTTCCCGTTCCCGTTCCTTTGAAGGGACCGTTACGAATCCCTCTTCCTCTCGCAAATACCACACTGCGCTGGCCACTTTACACGACCTCGACCCTGCTCTGCTGGATCCCCCAACGTTGCTCGCTGTTTCGGCGGCTCAATCCTGGACAATGGCGGATGTAGACGTTGCGCCGACTTTCGGCACTGAACTCAAGGTCAGCATCCCCCCTCAGTTTGGCTTGGCCCTTCAGGAACGTTAACATGCTCTCGCTGTCTAGGACGGCTTCAAACCCGCCAACGCCTGGGTGGCTCATGGAATATCATGGCTCGACGAAATCCAACAGTTTTACCGCGAGAGAAGCGCCATTGAAAAGGAGTACGCTGCGAAGCTTCATAGCTTGGCCAAGAAATACTTTGAGAAGAAGAATAAGAAGTCGGCGCCTCTCAGTGTTGGCGACACGCCTGCCATGACACCAGGTTCCCTCGAGAGCGCTTCTTTGACAACCTGGTCCACGCAACTCACCACCCTCGAAGCGCGAGCTGACGAACACGACCGATACGGAAACAACCTTGTCGCCCAAGTGGCCGAACCCCTCAAGTTCCTGGGCACTCGCTTCGAAGAGCTGCGCAAACGCCATGCCGACTACGCCAGCAAACTCGAGCATGAGAGAGACTCCCAGTATGCCGACTTGCGGAAAACGAAAGCCAAATACGATGCTGCTTGTCAGGAGGTGGAAAGCAAGCGCAAAAAGTCCGAATCGGCCTTTGACAAGGCCAAAGCGCAGAGCGCGTATCAGCAGCAGATACATGACATGAACAACGTCAAGAATACCTATTTGATTGCCATCAATGTTACAAACAGGCAAAAGGAACGCTACTACCACGAGTATGTTCCCGAGATCATGGACAGCCTGCAGGACTTGTCCGAGTTCCGCACCATGAAACTGAACGGCCTGTGGACCATCGCATCGCAGCTGGAAGCTACCATGCTGCAAAGCAGTAACGGGCTGATGGAGAAGCTCAGCGCAGAGATCTCCAGAAATCAGCCTCACCTTGACTCGATGATGTACATACGCCATAACCTCGGCGCATTCCAGGAGCCTCCCGACAAGGGCTTCGAGCCTAGTCCCGTGTGGCACGATGACGATCAGATGGTTGTGGACGAACCGGCCAAGATTTATCTCCGAAACGTTCTCAGTAAATCGAAATCACAACTGGGAGACCTGCGCAGGGAGGTCGACAAGAAGAGGCGGGAGGTTGAAAGCATCAAGCGCGTAAAGCAACGAGTCAGGGAGGGTACCGAGAAGAAAGACGAGGTCATGATTGTCACGCAGATATTTGCACTGCAGGAAGAACTTCACGCTGTCGATAGGCGGAGAGTCACCGCCGAGGTCGAGACCTCTACCATCACCTCGGCCGTTGGTGACGTAACGCTAGGCGCGAAGAACCACAACTTCAAGGCGCAAACCTTCAAGATCCCAACCAACTGCGACCTGTGCGGAGAGAGGATATGGGGCCTCTCTGCAAAAGGCTTCGACTGCAGAGACTGTGGCTACACATGCCACAACAAGTGCGAGATGAAGGTTCCCGCTGACTGCCCGGGCGAGCAGACCAAGGAGGAACGAAAGAAGCTAAAGGCCGAACGGCAAGAAGCCGCTAATGCGCTCCTGAGGCCGGCGGCATCCTCACCTACCAACGCTTCGGAATTGCCGGCGTTGACGAGGTCGAACACAATGAACTCGCTGAGCTCGGGATACGCACACAGCGCACGTCGGTCGGTAACAGGGGGGCCGGCCTCGCCCATGGACGAGGCCCCCCCAGAGCCATCAACCCCTCGCCCGCCGGCTCCTGCATCGACTGTGAGCTCTAGCACCACCCGTAAGAGGGTTATGGCGCCGCCTCCGGCCGCCTACATCAGCGAGCTTCCTGGCAGCGCGCCGAACGGATTGGGTTCATCGGAGCAGCAGAAGGGCAAGATGCTCTACACTTTTGAAGCTAGCGGTGACGGAGAAGTTTCTGTGCCCGAGGGTCGCGAAGTCACCATGCTTGAGCCCGATGGTGAGTTTGGCCCATGGTGGTCCTGATCGAGGTGCTGACAGCTTTCTGCAGATGGTTCTGGCTGGATCAAGGTGCGCGCTGGTTACAAGGAGGGAATTGTGCCAGCAAGTTACATCGAATGGACAGCAGCCCCCGCGTCGCCAATGGTTGCACAGAACACCGGCGCGTCCGCACGGCCCGAATCGATCTATTCCAACTCTGGCTCCTCGATAGGAACGCCGGGAGCGGGAAAAAAGAAGGGACCAGCAGTGGCCCCAAAGCGCGGGGCCAAAAAGCTCAAATATGTGGAAGCATTATATGATTACACGGCGCAGAGCGATACAGAGCACAGCATGGCAGAGGGCGAGAGGTTTGTGCTAATCAAAGAAGATCCCGGCGACGGTTGGGTCGAGGTCGAAAAGGGCGGCGTGACGAAGAGCGTGCCCGCAAGCTACGTACAGACAGTCTAGGGGGATTGTGCACGGGAAGAGGGGAAGCCTCGAGGATCAGGGCCACTCGCGACCTCGACTGTGAAGGGCAAGACGGCGATCGTGCTGCAAGATATCTCACAGGCATCGAGTCCAACACGATGGATGCCTCGAGCAGGGCTTAACGAGCGAAGAGGCGCCTACAAGTCACATGTGTCAACAAACTCTGTGACACCGGCCGAAGTCGAGCAAGTGACGAGTGTCCGGCTGGTGAGGCGAAACCAGAGCCAGAGGGAGCGGCGGAATTCCAGGCTCAATGAAGTGGCGGCATGGCGAACGTCGAGAGACCGGGGAAGCAGCATTGGTTGAGGTGCATTCATACCAGTTACACATAAGCTGGCGAAGAAGGTTAGGAGCTGAAGCAGTCGGGGTTCTTGGGGTGGTCTTTTTCTTGGAGATTTCATAGTAGTTCAAAATAGCAAAGCATTATTACTTCGGCATCGTCGGTGGCGTTTCTGGACGGGCGTCTGGCGTGCGTGGGTTTACCTGCGACAGGCCATTCTATAAATCCGACAAAGGCATGCAAATGATTGTGGGGAGGTGTTCGTCCTGTATCCGTACATGGACGTCAATAATGAGGAGGGTTAAAAAAAAAAAAAAGACTTTTGGTAACAACTGGCGAGCCCCTGCAGCCGTACGGCTTGCGGCATCGTTCCCGCTCCCAGGGCTCCTCAATTAGGACTCTGGTCTTTCCGTTCGAGGCCAAACGGAATGGGATGGATGGGAGGGGATCGTCGGGGAGATCCAGCCGGCCATCCCGCTGCTAGTCCGCAGGCACACCCACCCGCCTTCACTGCGAGAGCCCACCCACGGGCCTTTTTGCGGGGGGAGGGGACGTTTGCAGGAGCAAACGGCCTATTTTGGACAGAATGCTAGCCTGGGAGACCTAGCATCGAGATGGCACTGCGGTTATCTGTCTGACCGGACCATATTGTGATGTGCTGCCTAGGCCGGCGCCTCCTTCCTATGCCGAGTGCTAATTTCCTGAGGAAATTCCCATTTTCAGACTGTCTCCTGAGCGCCAACTTGGCAGTCAACTTGGCAGACAGTTGGCATGCGCAGCGGGATGAAAAGCAAGTGCAAAAGCCAAGGCGGTGGCGCGGTGAGCGAGCGGTATGAGGAGAAGACTTCCCAAGACGGGCCAAGCTCTGACCAAGCGCCAATCAAGTTGGCCGACGAGGACGGCATAGCCCCCTGAGGAACTCCGCTGAAGGATGTCACAGAGATAGATGTGCTGGTGGGGGGGTGTTAATTTGGGAGAAAGAGCTGGGAACGCAATTTCGTATGTGCCAGAGACTGATTGCATCGGACGGCGGCGGGTAACCCTATACAACGCCGCGTTGAATTCACGTGTTTGGGGATGGTAGGGCAAAAGAATCTTTCGTCCTGGCCAAATAAGACGTTTGTGCCGTCGTGTTTTCAGAACAACACGACTGGCGAACACGATGATTTCCTGGCCTCGGCCGACACGAGCAGACAAAAACAGGAGTGAAGGTCCTGTGGTTGGTGTGGCATCCGGGCCAGCGACCAACGGTCGTGATAATTGTTTCTTTTCTCGGTATCACGGGTCAGGCAGGGACCCAGAAGAGGATTCAATCTATGGGATGTCACGTCGAGGTAGGGTTGGAAACTAGGCATGCCGAGTAGGGCGAGACTGACATGGGGTGGTGGGATTGACGACGGGCCCAGGAAATGACCATGGGTTGGAACTTTGATCCTGTGCATTAAATATCCCACGGTGACAGTCGTAGCGGATATTTGGTCAGGGCGGACGGAGAAATTGGTGAGTCTAGGTATGAATGTTTCTGCCATGGAGGCCAAGAGATCAAGAGACCGAACCGGACCAGACCAGACCGGTGTGGAGGTTGGGTCTCGGTGGCAGTGTTGACGTGGACCTGCGCGGCGTGGCATTCTACTGTACATAGTACCTACATTACTATGCATTTGTATAGATCGCCGGCGAAGCGAGGTGAATCTTGTTATGACCATGTTTTTCTTGGAGCTTTGGAGACATCCCCGGGAAGGGCAGACGTGCCTTGCCCCATTGAAGGGCTGGATGTGGAAGGAACACACCAACAGGTCCCAGACTCCCAGGTGGTGATGAGAGCAACGTGGAATCGGAAGGGCAGACAAGGGCCTCCATTGATCGCTGTGGCAGTGCACGTAATGTAGCTTTTCAATGGGGCAAAAAGACTGGAGCGGCTGGGTCCTAATGTCTCGTTCGGAAAAGGGGTGGAGTGCGGCAAGGAGGTGTCTGCGCGCCTGTGCCCCGAGCAAGTCAGTAGTAGGTAATACCACCTTGAAAGTTGACTGTTTGTTGTTCTTGCTAGGTAGATGGCGATGGTGGCCGGTATCTACTTCCAACCCGTGTTTCTTGACGTTCTTCCCCCCCCCTTTGCTGCAAGTGGGATGTCGCCCAGCCAAGAAGCTCAACTCTTTCCGCCAGAAGCATTGGGTATGGAGTGTTGGTGTGTTTGTTTTCTGGCATGGAGGCGTGTCAGTGGCCATGTCAGATGGGGGGTGATGAACATGAGCTTGATACGAGCAAAACCGGGAAGGAAAACAACGGCCAATTGATGACCAGGAGGCGAGACGGGAGTGTGTGTGTGTGTGTGTGTGTGCGCGCGCCGCGCCATTAGCGGTCACACAACAGGGCCAATGACGGGAAAATTCGATCGTCGTTTTTGCTGCGTTTCAGCGGGTTCGACGGGCGATTGGAGTATTTGGCATGAGATTATTATCTATTGGGATGCTCCCAGAGGTCGACGACCGACGTGGTGGAAAAGCGGGCGACGACTGTGCCTAGACGCGCCGGTGCAGCGTACGCTCGAGTGTAAGGACTGCCGGACGCTGGGCGACGCAGCAGAATTACATCACCAATTGGCAATAACTGCCTGGGTAACTTTCCTGTGTGTACGGAGTACTCCGTACGAGGTACGGACATACCTATCGTATAGGCAATTGTGTTTACACTAGCCAGGTACCCACTACGGATACGACACGAAGGGGACATCCACGGTAGGACAACAGACCGGGGTGTCCGTAACGCCTGGTCTGATTGAGCTAGGTATTGCGCTGCAACCAATTAAGCTTGATTATACGGCGCCAAGAGCCCGATTTAGACCCATCCCACCATAGTCGTCGTAGACACACCCTCAACCGTATATATCACTTTGTAGTCACGCCTCCGAATTCCCCCTGAATTTGCAGCTGTCTTCCCAGGAGACACGTCCAAGCAGCGGCTGCCAGCCTGCCACCGCCCAGCCATGGTTCGGTTGTCAGACAGAAAGGAGTGACTTGAACCCACTAAACGAATGAACGGCTGCTCCTTCCCCTCCGCCCTGGCCCCACCATCCACATCTCCTGTCGGTCCTTCCTTGGCAGGGAATGGGAACTGGACCGGGGCGGCCAGCAAGAGATGTTGTGCAATGTGGTGAATGTCCCACCTTAGAGCAAGAAAGTCTTGGGGGGGGGGTGGGTTTGGAAGGTGCAAGATGGAAGATGGAAGGGGGGGGGGAGGATGGGGAGGGAAGGCAAGGGAAGGGAAGGCAAGGGTGGATAGGAATTCGTTCGCACCTTCGTTTACGAAGCACCACCACCGTCAACCACGCCGTTTTTAATCATCCAAGTCCCTCGCTCCCGCCCGACCTCGAATTCCTCTCTTTCTCGTCATTCCATCCCGCCCTTACCGACCTCTCGTCTCCGCCTTCCGGGTCTCGAGCGTGCCATTTTTCCCTTTCGATAAAATCACATAGTCAACTCCCTCGCTTTGGTTGACCTTTTTCACCATCTACCTTTCAGCAACCGACCAGCCCTTTTAATCACCACCCTTTTGGAACCTGAATCCGTCATCACCTTTCCGTTGCTCCCAACTGTCCCTCACTCTTTCGGGACATCTTCTATCGCTTGGCACCGTTCAATCATTGTCTCCTTTGGCTTTTTGAGGAAATCTTTTGGACCCTACAGCCATACACGATGAAGTCCTTCGCCGCCATCTCGGCCCTTACGGTCCTGACCGTCGTCACGGCGAAGCCCACTGCCACTGAGCGCGAGGCACCCATCAAGGCCCGCTCTGTCCCCGCCGTGGAAGTCTCCGGCAATGGTATGCTTGACGAGCCGTACGCTATTTCATCTCATCCAATTGACTAACACGTGACCCTAAGCTTTCTATGCTAACGGCGCTCGCTTCTTCATCCGTGGTATCGACTACCAGCCTGGTGGCTCGTCCGAGAATGTCGACCCCCTTGCTGACACCACCATCTGCGGTCGTGATATTCCCAAGTTCAAGGACCTCGGCGTGAACACCATCCGTGTCTACAGCGTCGACAACTCCAAGGACCACAAGGAGTGCATGCAGATGCTCGCCGACGCTGGCATCTACCTCGTTGCCGACGTTAACAACCCCCTATACTCCATTAACCGCGCTGACCCCCACCCCTCCTACAACGCCGTCTACCTCCAGAGTGTCTTTGCCACCGTCGAGGAATTCGCAAAGTACGACAACACCCTGGCCTTCTTCTCCGGAAACGAGGTCATTCACGATGAAGCCGAAACCACCTTGACCGCTCCCTACGTCAAGGCCGTCACCCGTGACATCAAGAACTACATGGCCTCCCGCGGCCTTCGTCATATCCCCGTCGGCTACTCTGCCGCTGATGTTGCCGACAACCGCATGCAGAGCGCTCAGTACTTCAACTGCGGTAGCGACGATGCTCGCAGCGACTTCTTCGCTTTCAACGACTACTCGTGGTGCAGCTCCAACTTCAAGGAGTCTGGCTGGGATGTCAAGGTTAAGAACTTCACTGACTATGGTATTCCCATTTTGTAAGCAGCAGCCAGCTCCAATCCCTTCTCACTATGACGATATTAACCTTTTCTAGCCTGTCCGAGTACGGCTGCAACACCAACGTCCGTGACTTCGGTGAACTCGAGGCCTTGATGAGCAACGAGATGACCAGTGTCTACTCGGGAGGTATGATGTACGAGTACTCGATGGAGGCCAACAAGTACGGCATCGTCCAGATTGACGGAGACAACGTCGAGGAGCTCAAGGAGTACGCCAACTTCAAGAGCGCCTTGTCCAAGTACCCTGCCCCCACCGGTGACGCCGGTGCTGCCAAGACCTCGCACGCTGCTGCTTCGTGCCCTACCTCCGACAAAGTCTGGATGGCTGACCCTACCAAGATCCCTACCATGCCTCAGGCGGCCGAGAAGGTTTGTTGTAGCAGAATCTCACAATAAAGGAGCAGCTGGCTAACACTTGAATAGTACATGACTGAGGGTGCCGGTGAAGGTCCCGGCTTGAAGGGCGATGGCTCCCAGACTGCTGGCGACAGCGCTTCCGATGGCGACACTACTGGCGGTGTTCCCTCCCCCACCGCTTCCGGCGGCAGCTCTAATGGTTCTCCCAACGCTGCTGCTGGCATGACCTTCGGTGGTCCCATTGAGAAGGCCCCCTTGGCCATTGCTGGTCTCGCCGCCATGTTCACCATGTTCGGCGCCTTCTTGTTGTAATAGATGCAGCCACGTGGATGGCCCAGCCATTATGCTGGATGTACAAACGATATTCAGAGAGCACTTGTTCTTAAATTCACATGAGGCGCTAGATTTGATGTGCGGGTTGGCCGCCGTTTCGCTGGTCCTACCACTGACGCCCGGAGTTCGAGCGTTTCCGGCTTCTGGGACAGTGGGTTGTACGACAGAGGCACAGTTTTGGGGGGTTGATTCCCAGCGACAGCAATGCTGCTTGGCTTAAGCCGCGAAGCATCTCATTTTGCATGCCGGCGCAAGATATATGTACGTAGTGTTGCAAGATGCAAGAATTGTAATTCTTTTGTTTGATGATGTTTTTGGACTCGCCAGCTCGTCTCTTAGCAAACTGTGACATGTTTGAAGCACGCTTCTCAGCTCGATCAGGTAGTGTTTCCGATTTGTCAACTCCCGATTGACAGTGAGGCCGGTTTGAAACCCACATATTGCGGAACCGGACGGATATTAGTTGACCCACGTGACCACGAATACATCACGTTTATGACGGGACGTTAGTAATAGTCAATCAACTAGCAGCAATATTCAGGTCCGACTTCCCAAGGTCGTAGAGAAAGTCAGGCGTCGAAATAAAGCTGTTACTGCCAAGATCGTGAACTGGGATAATTGTTTGCCTGTTGGCTGGTGGACGGCAGTGGCCCGTCGGTCCATGCCGGAGAATGACAAGCAAACATCCGCGCCCTTTGTTGTACTTTCCTCGCTCTTTATCTCTATTTAATGATGCGTGTTCGCTCGTTTTTGGTGGGTTTGTCCAATAAATACTCGACTGACTTCTGCTACTGCGGCAATATTCAGGGCCAGTTGCTTCCAGCCCAGCAAACCGTCACAGCGATGGCGAAAAGCGCAACGTCACCGCCCTTGTTCCGCCATCCAGGTCGCCCCCCTGCCGACACGGCCTTCGCTTTCGCCGACGGCGTCAATTGTACGTGAGCCACATATCAGCCTCTACGGAATAGACTTTGGCAAGGCGTGACGGGACGGGTTAGGGGTGCTGCAGCAAGGGGACTTATTTTTGGATTTCGGGTTCACTTTAAGAGCAGGACAGATATTTCCATCGACACGTGAACTTTCATTTCCTTCTTCATCTAGCAACCGTACGTTAGAATAATGCCGTGATTTACCCTTATGAACATGCTGCGAATCAGTACTGGGACGAATAGGTGGTGTAGCATACTCAGCGAGCAGCTCTTCTAGGGTGACCCCGACCAGGGGCACTCTCACGGTTGTTGGTAATTCACGCGGCCGCCTGAACAAATAGTCGACCCAACACGTCAGAAGGGCCGACCGAATTAGGAACCCCGATAGGAAACAAAGACTCACCACGGCGAGTCACGGGTAGGTGGAGGAATGCAGTTGGACGACGTGACCGGGACAGGCCGGGAAAAATGGGTCCGAGCGCTCTCAGTGCTTTGTTTGGCGAATGTACATCTTTACCACGACCCTTTCACTCTCTTTCTCTCACACGAGATCTCCGCGGTTATTTATCGCCACCGAAACATGTTTCAATCGTTATTTGCCGTCCTTGTCAAGAGAGACTAGAAGCAAACGGTTTGTTACCAAACGCCAGCGTCTTTCTCTGTCGCCATTGTCCCTTCGCCCCGGGCGACGCAGAGTGAGTTTCAGGACATTAGCTGAACTAGAGAAATCTACCTAATGTAAAGCGGTGTGTATGGATTTGTTAAGACGAACTTATATTGACGTATAAGATGATTGGTGGACCAAATTGGGTAGGCTCAAGGGTAAATTCCAGACCAATACGCATCAAGGGACCCCGCTCGACAGCATCCCTTCACCTCACTTCAGGCTCACCATGTCCTTTCTGAGACATCTCGTACCAATAACCAGCTCCGCTGGCAGATGGATCAGGCCATAACCATGAGCGCCTCCGAAAGTGTTGATTCCTCTTAAGGAAGACTCTCTGGTTCTTTTGGTCCCGTCGCAACGTCTACTAGGGGCTTGTTCTTGACTGGACACTCGAATGACCGCATGCCGAACATCCGGCCCCGCCCGGCACAGCTAGTGATCATTAGCATAGCACTGCCAGGGCGGCGTCTGTGTCTCCGGAGTTGGTTCTGTCGCTTTCCCAGTACTCTGCGCCGTCGGTTGTACTCCAAAACCTCTTCCTTCGAAACCCGCTCAGCATGTTGCGCCTATAAGCGCCCGCGGGTCAGCTCGGCCACCCCCTTGACCAGAGCAGGAAACTTTCATTCCCCGACTGACCCCTCATGTTCTTTGCGGGTATCTCCTCAGATCCAGGTGTCCCAACTCACTTCCACCGCGAATTTTCCCTCTCCGCTCACAGTAGCCTCGCTTGAAGGTCCAGCAAGGAACGCAAAATGCACCAAAGACTGGCTGCGCGGCTGCTTTGGCCCGTCATCATGGCGTCGGCCCTGGTCCTGGTCGCCTATGGGCTTTTCTTCCCACGGAGCAGTTTTCAGACCCGGCTGACAGGGCGACCGTTGGACTACCTGCTGACCCAACAGTCGAAGTCTGGCCCTTCAGCTGGAACTGGGGTAAACTTCGACAACCTTCGTCTGACCGAGGAACAATGCCGGGTCACATTTCCTGGTCTGAACAAAGAGATAGACGCGGCCATGTCGGAAGGCGACTTCCAACTCGGTCTCAACAACACTTCTGTGTCGCTGCTGGGACAGATCAAGGATAACAAGATACTGATCCTCCAAGCTCCAAGACCGGTGGACATGTCAGACCAGTGGCTGGAGGTAGGCGAGACACCGAGCCTTTTGATCCCGTGAGAACATACAGCAGCAGCTTACAGGTGTCAGAGGCAAAACGCCGCCCTTCAACAGCTGAACCGAGCGCTCCTGACCTCGCCGACCCTTCTACCCGACACGTTCTTCAACCTCCATGTCCAAGATACTCCCGCAACACTCTCCTGGTCCCATAGCCGACCTGCCATGTCTCCTTCTCCGAGGCACATATTCACCATGCCCCATTTCTCCTTCTGGGCGTGGAATCAGCCCTTCATCCGTTCGATCCCCCACGCGGCTGCCGCGATCACCGATATCGAGGCTAGCCTTTCCTTCGATATGAAGGACCGGCGTGCAGTGTGGCGAGGAACCGCTTGGTTCAACAACGGTGCCAGTGCAAACCCAAGGTCGCGACAAGAGCTGCTGAGGATCACCAAGGATGCATCATGGGCAGATGTACAGGCCTTGGAGTGGGTCGACAGCGGGGAAAACGCGACGAACGCTCTCATGATCGAGGACTTTTGCCGGCACAAGTACATTATTCACACGGAAGGAGTGTCGTACTCTGGCCGCCTGCAATTTCATCAGCTATGTGAAAGCGTGCTCTTGAGTCCGCCCATGGAGTGGATGCAACACACAACACACCTCATCAAGCCCGTGTACTCCAGCATATTGCTGGGTCACGAGCAGGAGAGACAAGATGACGGCGGCGGCGCGACGACGAAACCTGAAGACGGGTACCCGTCTTCGAGGGCGAGGAAGACATGGCCTGCGACGGTCAGCCCCGGCGAAGCCAACGCAGTTTTCGTCAACCCGGATTGGTCCGACCTCGAAGCGACGATCGGCTGGTTGGAGGAACACGCCGAGGTGTCTCGCGGCATTGCCCGTCGGCAGCGAGCCATCTCCTTCGAACGCGGATACATGAGCCCGGCCGCCGAAGTTTGTTACTGGCGAGCACTCGTCAGAGGCTGGTCTAAGGTTGTGCGCATCAACGGTACCATCAAGGAGAGCAGAGAATCCACGAGCTTCGAGGAGTTCGTGACGAACGCCAAAATGTCCCGGAAAGGGCACTGAGTTTTCCGTACGCATTTGATAACACGAATCAGCAAGCGAAGAGCGGATCGACTTGAAGCAGGCACATACAAGCACAGAAGAACGCTGGGATTTGGTCCGCCTAGTGAAGCGGCTAACCAGTCCTTCCGGAAACGGGCAACTACCGCATTATGCATGAGTCTCATATCGGACTTGGCTTGTTTATCAGAGCTACGTCTACGTATGGCTGAGCCGCGGACATTGGCGAAAAGCCTCGGGAATAGGCCAGCAGGGGTAGGGGGCAAAGAACGGTTCGGGAATCTGAGGCGCAATTCCCGCTCAAGGGATGAGATAACTCGACTGAGAGTCTCCCAGCTCGTTGGCTCGCGCGGCCTAGGTAGGCAAGAACAGACGGAGCACCTGTCAACGGACACGGAGGAGACGCTCTTGTTGGGGAAACACTTCACGGCAGCCACGTTACGCAAAAGTACCGTCCCCCTTTGACCTCGCTTCGCGGAGTTCTCGGCGGCCTGGCCTTGCCCGGCCAGGCATACGACAGGCTAGTGATACGGTGCATCCCGATACGCACGGCAAGGGACGACTGGACGCAGTAGGTAGGCTATTTGGCAAGCCGCTGACAGGGTGTGACAGGCCGTGTGACCCCCCCCAAAAAAAGTTTGCGACATGGGTAACATCAATCATGCGGATGCAGGGGCACATGGCGAACCAGCCCTTTGGGACTGGACAGAAGCCGGGATCTGTTGAGGCAAACAGACGAGACGGAGCGGAAACGACGGAAGATGGCCATTTCCTATTCCAAAAACGAACGAGAAGGAAGTTTCGAGGGGGTGCATCATGTGGGTTGCGTCGTGGAGGAAGAGGAGGAAGGGGGACGACGACGACGACGACGATCGTTCGGATGGTTGGTTTTACACATTCGACGAGCAGTAGAGAGGGGGTGAGTGGGTACAGGACCCGAGAGCCGGGAAGGTCCAACTCCAGAGGTGGTTTAGCGGCGTAGTATATAAATCGGCAAGATGCTGCCAGTCTGTGGCACTCCTTTAACCATTCATCCATTCGACCAAGCACCCAAGCAAGGGTTCATCAGCAAGAATGGACAGCCGTGCTGGGGTTTTTTGCATACACGTGACGTTCCGCTGCAGCAAGTGGGCCAAGCAGCTGGTTCCCGTCCAGCCCATCACACCGTCTTTCCGGCGGCCCCCGAACGCGTGTTTACGAGGCCGTCGGTATTGACGGGGCCTGGGCATGTTGCCGGGGTCCGAGAGAAGAGGAAGAGGAAGAGGAAGAAGGGAAAGATGGAGGAGAACAAGCTGGGTATGTAGTTTACATCAGTACTCCGTACAGGGTACGAACGGAGGCCCAGAGAGATAGATAGCAGGGGGTCGTTCAACCGACCCGCCCGGCCGGTGCAGGTGCAGCTCCTTTCTTGACTCGGCGTCTGCGGGGATATTAGTGCACCTAGGTACGGATACTTGTGTACCTACCTACCTACCTACCTAGGTACCTTATGTACCTTGGCCTTCATGTTCTGTCTGTCACCCGTTGGCTGCCGCAAAAGGGTGCCCGCCTTGCTGCATGCCGTGATAAGGGAGTGGGTTGTTATGTTCTCTTGCTTTTCATCCAGGTCAGATATCACGTTTGGCCGCCCGTCCTTCTTTTGTCTCTCCATGACATGACCTGCCTTCTGGCTGGTAAACTGTGGCGTCTGCAGCAGGCGGGCAACCACGTCGTTGGTCGACGACAGTGGGTAACTAGTCTTCTTCCTGTCTCGTCTTCGTGCGCCTTGAATCGCGGTCCACGTTCGTGCATCTTTCCCCTCCCCTCCAGCATTCACGCATCATGCGTTCCTCTCTTTTCACCTATTTCTCATGCACCAACGGCGAATGCCAGCCCACACTACTACATCCAGTAAAAGGTGCCGAGTATGCGGTTATTGGCTAAGACAACGGGGACTGAAGCAGATCCCGAGGGAAGGGAAGGAGGGACCAGTCGTTAAAACTGCTCCTCTCCAATCGACAACTTGACAAACAACCTTGGATACGTACTCTGGACTCAACACATTCCCGTAACTCTGGTAGCAAACCGGGGAAGAAGCCAGTCTTGCGCCAACTCGCAATCTTGTGTAGTGTATCCGTACTGAGGTACAGATACAAGGCGGTCGGTCCCCCTCTCCCTCTCTCTCTCTCTCTCTCTCTCTCTCTCTCTCTTCCAACAAGGCCCGCCCTAAGGCCTGGGTCGGCTAAGACGAATTATAGCGCGTGGAGACTGAACCGCATTTCCAGGTCCCGGGGTCCAGGGTCAGGTCCCCCCCCCCAGGGTGCTGGTACCTATCGGCAACCAAACGAACTAAACTCAACACCACCAAACCAACCCAACCGGTTCATTGGGTCTGCGTCCCCGTATTTTCGTTCCCGCTTTACCACGCACTCACACACTCGCTCACTTACTCACTCGCCCTCTCACACACACACACACACGCATCACACCCGCACACAAGAGAACCATGACTTCCCCCTCCCTCCCTTTCCTCCTTGCTACACCCTCGAGATCGCCGTCCTCAAAATTTTGTTTCCGCTCGGGTTCGCAGTTTGCGCCTTCGCCTCAGAGTTGACGCTGTTTGTGTGTGCGAGCCCTCGGGATTTACCTCTTCACCTGTAACCCATCACCTCGCTCTGTTACTCTCTCTAGTCTTTAATACCCAACCCGCCCACACTTGGCCAGACTCGTTTGTCTTAAACCCGGGAAACAGGACGACTACCGCAACATCGCGACCGGCGCCTTTTCAACAGACTCGACGAAAAACAACTCGCGTTGCAGAGCCGGTATTTGTTTGTTGGCCAACACTGAAACCCTTTTCTTTGTCCAGGCGTTCCTCGTGATAATCGCGAGTAACCCGTCATTGGCCTTCAGTCTCCACTTGTTCGATTCAAGTCTTTGACGAACCTTGGCTCGACCGCAATTGCTGTGTTCTTTCCGGAACCGTCACTTTGGCCCATACAAAGGCCCGTCACACTGCGCCGCTCCGCGCGACAATCGCCTCCGTGGAGCTCGCCTCTTCTTACCCCTCCCCTCTTTCGCCGTCCGCTTGTCCATGTCGCCGGCTGCACTCATGTCCTTCTACCCCCCGGGCACCGCCAATGGCCGCCTCGATGGCTTCGAGTTCACGTTCGAAGCCATCCCCGACAAGACATTACTGCACGACAGCCAAATAGAAGTCGACGTATGTTGAATCACGCATCACTGCCCTCCCATTGATCCGCCGCTGGCCGTCTACCTAATATAACTGACAAACTCCACTAGCCCGATCCTCATGAGGGGTAGGCTTGCCACTAGCTGGACAACATGTCCCCATGAGACTTCACTAATCGTTGTCTAGTGAGACCGACTCCCTGCCGGACGATATCGGGTGTTATCCCAGGCATTTCGGCAGGACCTATCACGCTTATAGAGCGGGCTGTACGTGCACAGTGTCTTCTTGGGGCCGAATAGAGAGCTCATGGAAATTACAGCCTATGTGTTCCCCAACGATCCAGCCGAGCAGGAGCGCTTGGATCTGCAATCCCTAGCTCTTACGGAACTGTTCAGCGGCAGGTTACACTTTGCTCCAATCGCCGTGGAAGGCTCCCCCAAACGCGTCCTTGACGTCGGGACGGGGACCGGAGCATGGGCCATGGACATGGGAGACATGTACCCCGAGGCCCGCATAATCGGGGTCGACCTCTCGCCGATTCAAAGCAACACCGTCCCACCAAACGTTCATTTTTATGTCGAAGACGCGTGAGTAGGAGCCGGATCGGAACGGAAGAATGCCCTGTATCCCCAATCTGACCAGCCTACAGCGCCCAACCGTGGGCATGGCCCGACCCCTTTGACTACATCCACACCCGCTCCCTCCTTGGTTCCTTTGGCGACTTCAAGAACGAGGTCATCCGGCAGGCCTTCGACTCCCTCCGTCCGGGCGGCTGGCTCGAGTCCCAGGACTTCAACGCCGAGGGCATTAGTGACGACAACACCCTGAAGCCGGACGCCGCGCTGTCCCACTGGTTCTACGACATGAACCATGCGAGCGAGCTCATCGGCCGCCCTCTGTCGAGGTCGCACCTGCTGCGGCAGTGGTACGAGGAGGTCGGCTTCGTCGACGTGCAGCAACGGGTGTTCAAGATGCCCATCAACGGGTGGGCAAAGAGCCCTCGTCACAAGCACGTCGGGAGGCTATGGGAGCAGAACTACCTCGACGGGCTGAGCGGGCTCAGCATGGCCCTGTTCACGCAGGTGCTGGGAAGGAAACAGGAGGAGGTGCAGGTTGGTTCCCCTTCCCGCTGGCGCATGCTGTTGGTCGATGATATGCTGACGAAACCTGGGCAGGTGTCGCTGGTGGACGTGCGCAAAGACGTCTCCAACATGCACATACACGCCTACCAGCACGTATGGGTGGTATGGGGCCGTAAACCGTATCCGGGCGAAACTGTCCCCTCGAGGAGTCCTCCCGAGGACGGGAACCAGGCCGAGTGATGACACGAAAACGAAACGAAACGACTTGGTGATTTGATTTTCAGCATAATGACGGCTTCGAATTCATGGAACAAGCGTAGGATCTGGGGAATCCCTTCATCTTGTATTCCCGGTAAATGATTGACGATGCGGTGGTGGTACTCCGTTTGAGAAGCGCCTCCCGGGGTTCCACCTCTCTCCTGCGCAAAGGCGCCCGGGTCAATGCCTCCTTCTGTGTCCAAACGTGGCATCAGGCGCACGGCACCCTTACAGCCAACTGGCTTGCAGAGGAAGGGGGCCCTAGAACACGACGACGATGATGTATATTGGGGAAGCAGCAAAAGAGACCACGGCCTACTCTTTGGACTCTTCGGCATGCCCCGCTTTCTTCTTCTTCTTCAACGGCCGCAAAGGGGCTCTTTAGCCGATACAGGCAGGTTCTGGGATGCTGGCGTCCATCGTGCGCCGCGGCGTTGCGGGAGCGGGGCCGACAGCCTCTGTCGAGGGTACGGGTCATGGAATCGCTGTTACGGCGGTGGAAGAGAAGACGTGATGATGAGCGCAAGGGTTTAGTGTGTAACCCTTGGTGGGGGGGTGGCGGCTGCTTAATGTTGTTGCGTTGCCCTTGTGAGTCGGGTCTCGGACCCAGGCGGTTAATGGCGACCATGGTTGCCAATCTGAGAGTGGAAAATAGATTCCACTCCAGCCAGACGCTGATTACACAGGGCTGTTTGACCCGATCTGATCCGTCATGTCTAATTCACAAGCCGCCGAGGGTGAGGTGGCCAACTGTCAACAATAGATGTCCGGCTCAACGTGCTGAGCGGAATGATTGCGATTCTCGCATAATGTCCACTCACATCGATGCTATCCTTGAACCAACAGCAATCAGCACGCCACATGGTCGTTCCGGGAGGAAGGATTGCGGACGTACAGGGTATAAGATGCGGAAGTGGAGAGAGACGCATCTAGAAGCGCCGAGTTGCTTTGGCCGTGAGACTTTAGCCAAATTCATCTCTTATCGTTATCGCGGACCCCACCTCAGCTTCCCACGAGCTCCGAGATGACGGCATCAACGTGGGACGCTTAACCTTAACCTTCTCACGCTCATGCTCGACAACTCGGTTTGCCGACCGGTCCACGGTACCACCGCCGACACGTTTTTTTTTTTCTTCTTCATAGAATTTCCGCCGAGGCGGCCAGTCAAAACAGCTGCCTCCTGCTTTCTCCTCCCTCTCGTCCCCGGCGTCCGCCGTTGCGCGCCCGGCCATGATCCCATTCCGCATTTTCTTGCGGTCGCCCGCCCTCCGCGCTGCACACCATCTGCCGCCAGCTCGCTCTCTCGTCGGCGTTTCCTCACCCTCCTCCACCCTCCCCCGACCCAGAGCGCGAATACCCCCCCTCCCGACAACGCGAAATGCCGTGAAGCCTCGATTCTTCTCTCAGACCGCTCGACGACCCCATCCGCCACCCACGGGCGGCTACGATCCCCGCAACCCCGCGCATCGCGAGATCCTCCACGAATACCGCCTGCGCACCGCGCGGCCCCTCGTCACCGTAGAGAACCTCAGGCGCCTCGCCAAGTCGCGCCTCACGCACGTCGCCGTCGCCGTCCTCTGCCTCTGGTGCGCCGGCTACGTCTACTACAACATCCAGACCGTGCCCGTCTCGGGCCGCCGGCGCTTCAACTGCTACTCGGAGGCGTCGATCAACAAGCTCTCGGAACAGCAAGTCAGGCACGTCATCTACGAGATTGAGTCGCAGGGCGGCCGGTTCCTCCCGTCGTGGGACCCGCGCTCCCAGATGGTGGCGCGCGTCATGCGCCGCCTGATACCCGTGTCGGGGCTCGACAGCCAGGAGTGGGAGGTCCGCGTCATCGACGACCCGCACACGCTCAACGCCTTCGTGCTGCCCGGCGGCAAGGTCTTCGTGCACAGCGGGATCCTCCGCATGACACGCAACGAGGACGGGCTGGCGGCCGTGCTGGGCCACGAGATCGCGCACAACCTCGCGCAGCACGTCGGCGAGCGCATGAGCTCCTCATTCGCGTCCAACCTTCTTCTGGGGGGCCTCGTCGCGCTGTCGGGGTGGCTTCCGCCGGCAATCATACTCACACACTACCTGGGGTCGGGGCTGATGGATTATCTCTTCTCGCGGCCCATGAGCCGGGTGCAGGAGAGCGAGGCCGATTACATCGGGATGATGCTCATGGCGGAGGCATGTTACGATCCGCGGGAGGCCATCGCGTTTTGGAGACGGATGGACGCGGAGGCCACGAGGGAGCAGACACACGTGCCCGATTTCTTGAGCACACATCCTTCGGTAAGTCTCGATGTTTACCATACAATCTCTCATCCTCCCCCCTTCTGAGCTCTGGGCTTGCACCTCCTCGGCGGCACCGAAAAACGATTTGGCGAAGATGACGGTACTGACAACTGCGCATCTAGAACGAACAACGAGTCGAGAAGTGCAAGGAGTGGATGCCCAAAGCCATCGAAAGGTGGGAGGCCAGCGACTGCAACGGGACGGCCAGGTTCGCCAACGTGTTTAGACGGGCGTTGAATCGGGGATTCATAATTTCGGAACTCTAGCCGGGTTCGGTATGGGCATTAGAAGCCCGGCATGGCGTAGGCTACGGTGTTTTTCGGCGCGCTGGCGGGTTGGGAACCACGACGCGATAGACTTTCTTCTTTCTTTTTCTATTTCTTCTCTTCCCTCCTCCCTCGACGTATCCCCCCCGGGACGTGTACAACTTGGCATTGTTACCCACATCACCACCATCTACAGCGCTTCTGTAACAAGATACCTTTAGTAATCACTCACCTTCGAAATCGGACCGCGTGCCTACTCACCCCGTGTGGCATCTCGTATCTCTTGGGTTACAACAGCACTGTCATCGGAGAGCATCCGCGTTCCCCATGTACCCCCCGCAGTCCAGACGGGTCTCGCTGCGAAGAGTGTCCTGGCAGTACTATGGGCACGATATCATGGGTAAACCTATGGCGCAGCATAGCAGTCATCCCCGAGTAGATGTTCAAAGTACCGCTGTTCAGATACATAATTTCCTGTGAATAGCTGTCCTAAGGGTTGGACTCGGCCATGGGACGCAAGTGGGATCACGCATTGAATTCGGCCACTCATACATACCTGCCTAAGCGAACACTCCTGCGTCGCTCTTTAGGTTGACCACGCCGCCGGCCAGACGGGGGCTCGACGAGCGCAGCACACGCCAGCAAAAGCCCCGGCTAGATTCCGGCGTGACCGGTACGGACACAGTCGGGGGGGAGGGGCGTCGGGCAAAGAGTCGTCGTCCATGGGCGCCGAGCTGAACCCGTTCAAGGACGCGGACGGTGACGGAAACAAGGGCCCCACGAGCTAGATGGTCGCGTGCTTGCCTCGGTAGGTAGTTCCATAGCCAATCCTAAAACCATAAAGAGGCGACGCCTCTCCTCTCGTCGTCTGATTTCAAAGTATCGCCTTGCATGTAGCGTGTACCACGTTGCACGCCGCAACGCCGGGGCGAGCGTTGAACTTGATACAGGATAAGATAAAATAAAATAAAAAGCCAAACTGACTCGGGGAAGATCAGAGAGAATGCCTAACTCGGCCATGACCCTGGCTTCTCTGGCCGTCGCATGCGTCATTGTAGTTTATAGCATTTCTCCAGAAAAAGAAAGAAAAAAAGCTTATGTGTAGGAAAGGGGGGGGGGACCTAGGATCTCCCCAGATCTCCCAGAATCCATACGGGCTGAGAAATTCGAGCCTCGTGATTTGCTCCCGCATCTTTACTCCAGACCTGCCTTCCTGGTTCCGTCCGGGGCGGAGTTTACCCCCCACCACGTCCCCCTTAGAAATACCCCAATCAGCGGGCCGAAATGACGTTGGGCGGCTGTTCGCGCATAGATGAGCCGAGGTAAGTCGACTCGTGCCACGCTCACCGGTCACTGAAAGATGAACCAGCACGCGCGCGCACGCACACCACGCACACACACGCACCGGACCGGCGTCTGCATGCGACAACACCCAAAACTTTTCTTCTTTGTATTGGTTGACGATTCTTCTAGAAACCACATCATTTCCCACTCTCATCCTCTCCTTACCATCAACCATTCAAACCTCGTCACCCAACTCGCATCCCAAACCAAACACACCACAGCTCGTCTCTCAGCCCCGACAGCTGCGCCACCCGTCTCACCTTTAACCCGCACCCCAAACCGCCAAAATGTCCCAGACGTTCACCACGCAGGAGGTCGCCCAGCACAAGACCGAGAAGGACATGTGGATCATCGTCGAGAACGGCGTCTACGATATCACCGGTAAGAGAGCACTCTTCCACGCCACCCGCCCCCTTTCCCGTCCCCCTTCAAATCTCCGCCAACGACTCCCCATCTCCCAGGCCTCCTCCCCTCTTTCGGAATGCGCTGACAGTCACGCGCCCCGCGCCCCCCAGCCTTCCAGTCGGAGCACCCCGGAGGTGAGAAGATTCTCAAGCGCTTCGCCGGCAAGGACGCGACAAAGGTCTTCTGGAAGTACCACAACGAAAAGGTCCTCGAGAAGTACGGCGGCAAGCTCAAGATTGGCACCGTCGGCGAATCCGCAAAGCTGTGATCCCCATCCTCCGGCCTTTTGGGTTACTACAAATCGCGTCATCTTCTTTGGGGCATATGCGCATTTCTTCTTCGTCCTTTTTTATTTTATTTCATTTTATTTACTTACTTGCGTACCTCAGCGGCATGAGATACGTGAGTTCACAAACACCCCGAGTTCTGCGACGACTCGTGGTGACGGTCATCTGCGTCAGCTATGGGCACGAGACTCGTACACACCGTTGGCGCTTTATCAGGAACGGCCGCACGGGGACGCAGGAGAATGGCGTTTGGCATCTGTGGAGGAATTCATCGGCAATTCCGCGGCTGCGCGTCATTTCCAAGCGCGGTAGATGTAGTTCTAGACGGCTCGACACGGGCACTGACCGGAATAGATGCGCCTCAGTCTTCTAACCTAACCTCGGCGACTTTTTGTGCTCACCCCTGGCCATCTCTCATCACTGCGCTAGACTTTCCTTGACTCGGAACAGTTTAGTCATTACATATGTGTTCGTAAAATTATCTACTACCGCTGCCTCAGCAGTGACCGGAAAATATTATCGTGCAGGCCCGTACCGCAAGCATATCCAGCATATCCAGCACAACCCTGAAAAGCAAAAATCACGCCTCTTCACTGGACCGCCCCTTTTTCGCATCCCTTACCAAAGTCAGCTCTTCTGTCTGTCTAGATTTTGTATCATTGCTCCGAATCCCGGTCTCGTCCTCTGCGCACTCGGCCTTTCCTACCAATCCTCCTCGGTCAACGGCACCGTCTCATCCATCCCCCCTCTCGACTCGTCGTCCCCTCTTCCGTTCTTCGCGCTTCCCGTTTCCAAGTCATAGAGGGTATAGTGCAATTCGTCGTCGTGAGTTATGCAAACGGAACAAAGGGAAATCTTCGGCTGATGATGTGAGCATAAGCCCTTGCCCAATGCGACGTCGTTGTTTCAAACCAACGTGACCCATTCTAGACTGGAAGATAGAAAAAAACAAGGTCGTTCGGTCTTAAAGAAAAGAGAGAGAAAAGGAAGGGAAAAAAAAAAAAAAAAACTCGTCAATGATCTTCGGGTTGTCTAGCTGGTTCAGTACCCGCCGATGAGCGAGTCGTCGTATCTGTCGGGGCTTCCTGCACCGCTACCAGTCGTACTGTCGCTTCCCGAGAAGTAACTCTGGTCGATGCGAAAGATCCAGTCCATCTTGTCACGCTCGCTGCGCGCAGCGAATAGCCATGTGTTGTCCGTACCATATATGGCGAACACGCCGGCTTGCAGTCGCTCACTCAGCCTCTGCAGGCCACCGTTCGCGCCGTTTGCTGCACCGCCTGTTCCGGTGCCCGTCCAAATGGTGGAGATGACACGCCCGGAAGCAGTCCGCCGGTGGCTTGGACGGAACTCTTCACTGCCGCCGTTAGTCTGGGAACCCGCATCATCATCGTCGCCGGACAGCAGGCCGATAACGCCAGGCTGACTGTCAACACGCGAGTTTCGCAAGCTAACAATGGCCACCTCGTCCCCATCGGTGACAGAGTGAATGTGAAGGTATGGCCGCCTCAACTCAACGAATCTCTTGACCCATCTCGTCGAGCTGCTATTGGGGATCAGCAGATAGCCTCCCTTAAGCACTTTTGGGTTCTTGGGGACTCTGATAATTGTTGGGATCAGACTCGGCGGAGCGGACGCCTCCGGTACAGAGCCATCTGTAGGTGGGTCTGTGTTGCTCGGGCTGAGGATTTGCAGCAGTGGGTCTGGGTATTTGTGCCAAAGGCTGATGCACTTTTCGAGTATTTGCCTTTCCCGTTGCGGAATCTCTGGTTCCTGAGATGTCTGCGCTGTCTCCGTCTCTTCTCCAGGTTGCGGAGTGCCCTGGGCGTCTCCGTCAACAAGTTCTTCGTCCTCTGGCACCTGCGAGCTCTCTGGTGTGTCGTTCAACAAGTCGTCATCGTCATCTTGATACGTTGGCTGAGGGGGCAGGTCCTCTTCTTGCGTCTCCTTTTCTTCTGCCTGTACCCTTGGCTGGGGCAGGCCGATCTTTTTGATCCAAGTCTGCGCGGCCCCAATCTCGGCGATCCGGCTTCTTTTCTTACGAGCAAGGATGAAGTCGCTGACAAGAGAAACCCCACGAGGAGTCCATGTAGTGAGTTGTTCTTCTCCCTTGACATAGTCGTGCTGGCTGCTCATCCTCCAGAGGTCACCTATTCTCTTGATAGGTGCAGGTCGCATGGAGAGCGTAAAGATACCACTGGTTGCATGAACAAACCGGACGCTTTGCCACAGCGAGGAAAACATTGACGTCTGTCGTACCCAGGATCTTGACATGATCTGACAGCAGACACGCATTGCAAACTTCATCGGCTCCGCAAATTTGTTGGAGCTGATTTCCCAGGCCACTGTCATCTGAACGCGGTACTTATCTGCGGTGACTCTGTCCAGAAGCAGAGAGTTATGCAAGCTGGAGTCCCACTGGCCGGTGAGTGTAATGCTTCGGGTGCCGTTGGCGTTGTCACGGAAAGCAGGCTTATTGGCGAGCTTGAGAGTGATGGTTGGCGACGTGGAAGTCATGTCTGGAGACTTTCCCGCTTGGTCCAGGAGCTGGATCTTGCCCACTCTGAGATTCATCGCATCGTCCCAGGGCAACGCATCGCCAGAGCTGTGCGTGATATTGATGGCAATGCGACGTTGCAGCCCCTGATGGAGTTGAAAAGTGCCGCCGTCCATCTCGCTCGTCTGCGCGACTTCGACGGGCGCATATTCTCCTTCTTCGTTTAGTTCAAGGATCTGTATCCTTGCCAGCAGATCGTGCTTCTCCTCGGTATAGAACTGAGACTCCGCAATCCTTGCGCCTTTGGGCTTTCCTTGGGACACGGGTACGGCATCCCTCATATCGTCCCAGCTCAATAGCTTGTCTAGGTGCATGACGGACACTTTGGCGAAGATGGCTGCCCGGAGAGTGACGTTTTGCGGACTGAAGAGAGGGACGCTCATGCTGTGCACGCTCTCAAATCGAATTGGTCCCTCGTCAAAGTCCTTTACCATCTGAGTAGTCGTGATACCATCTTCCTCGGACACACCGGGGATAAAAAGCTGAGCATGAACCTCGGTGCCCTCCCTCTCGGCGAATCCTACCATCTCATGCATAACAACGTTGAATTTCAACGTATTTGATGGTGCCCGAGCGTGTGATGGCTCCAAGGAAAGCTTAATCATGCCGATAGCATGGGAGGTGTGTGGAGACAGGACATCAAGCGCAAAGTCCTGGACTCTGCTTTCGAAAACAGCCTTGAGGGGCACGTCCACTTCCCCTACAAGAGTGTACTGCGGCATGCATGTTTCGATGAAGGGGTTGTCGAGGCTCAGGTGCTGCGCGTACTCGGGTTGGTCGAGGTATTGGTGCATTTGCCGCATTTGGCGAACTCGGTCGTGGAGCTTCTCGAGACTCCACAAGTGGACGACACTGTTCTTGTAGTCGACAACACGAACGCCAATGCATGGCTTCTGGGCCTCGTCGAGAGCGATGTCGTCCCCTTCGCCCGTCAAGCCATTCAGAACCATATCGTAGGTAGAGCAGAGAGAATGACCAAGGTCAACGACAGTGAATTGGAAGACCACGCCTTCGTCGAGCTCGTTGCTCATGATCTGTGCTTCCTTCAACGTTGATGCGTGCTGGAGGACCGCCTCGGCCATTCGTACGTAGCGTCTGGTCCGCCAGTGCTTGATGACCTGCTTCGCGATCTCGATCTCTTCGTCGGAGAGCTTGGGATTGGCCTTTGGCCTCTTTAGTGGATCCATCTTTTGGATTTTCTCCTCGAATTGGCGGCGTTGGACCTCAAGTTGCTGTTGCATGTCTTCCTTGAGCGCCTGCAATGTCTCCTGCATCCTAGCTTTCTCCTTCTTGATCTCCTCTACTTCAACATTAGCGGCTTCAGCCGTCTTGAGCTGGTCTTGGTACTCCTCCTTTTGCCGGTCGAGCTGAGATTGCATCTCCTCTCGTACTTCTCTGAGCTTGTCGTCCACTTCGCCCTGCTTGGGGGTCGATGGCATGGTGAGCGCAGTATCGAGAGAGAAATTATCAAGGGTGCCAGTCGACAAGTATTTTTCCCGGATAGGGTACGAAGTGACCGACTCTGAATCATCGTCGCCCTCACGACCGTTGACACGCTCAGCGCGCGCTCTTTGAATACCCTCAAACAAGGCATTGAGCTCCTCGTCCGTGAGACTAGCTAGGTTTTGATTTGGGCCAAGGATGGCCTCTGCTGCCTCACGCCTCGCGAAGCTCCAGTCGTTATCGCGCCCGGCACGGAACGGAATGGGAGAGTCCGGCCGACTGTCGCCGAAATCTGAACCAGCTCTGCTCCAATTCCGTTCATGTCCTGGGCGAGGGCTGACTGCCGGTGTAGGTGCGCCCTTTTCGAGGTTTTGAAGTTGGCTGGCTGTGACAGACTGGCGCAAGAGGCTCTTGTCCGCTCTCTCCTTTTGGGCCTCCATGGGATGGTTGAAGCGGAAGATGTGAAAATCGCCCAAAATGACTCGGTAACCAGAGTGAAGCTGCTTAGGCTCTTCAATCCGTTTACCGTTGACCATGACAGAGGCGCCTTCTTTGGGAATGACCATTACTGTACCATCTGGCGCGTTCTCGAATGCACAATGGTCATGCAATATTCGCGTCCCGTTGAGGCGAATGTTGGCTTGGTTGTCGGCATTCGTGTCCATGTTCCCAACCGTGGTCAACCCTGGCTTGAGGTTGTACACCAGACATTCAGCCAGCAGTGGATCATCCGAGAGGTTGACCAAATGGGGCATCTTCTTGGGAGTGGAGAGTCCAATAAAGCCCTTTTCGATGCTGATGCCGAGCTCCTCGAGTGCAGCCTCACGCTCCTTATGGATTTCTTCCGTTTTAGCCAGTTTCTGCTCCCAGGTCTGGTTGAGATCCGTTAGCAGCTTCTCACTTTGGTTGAGCTGCTCGGCAATTTCCGCCTTGGAGACTTTCTTCACAGCACCGTCGCTGGATGTGATAGACACGAATTGCTGTTCCAGTGGCGTGCCTTCCGGATACACCTCCTCGGATGTGACAACGCCACCGGCAGCTCCTCCAGCTGCACCGGCTACTCCACCGCCTAGTTGGTTCCGCAAGAGAGCAAGCTCTTCCTTGAGTTCTCTAATCATGCGGGCGTTGGCGTCTTCGTTGACCACCGCGTGGTTCTTGATTCTCTTGGCCGAGTCGGCATACCGAAGCGTGCTGAGCGTTTCATCGTAGTTGATGTCTGCCGGACTGATGGCTGCAATCATGGCGGTCATACTGTTTCCACCCAACGAATCTTTGAGGAGCCACGTCAGAACACTGTCTCGATAAGGAACCTGTCCACCAGGTCCCTTCTTCTTCTTCCCAGTCGAGATATCAGCAAGCGCGGAGATGACACGACCAAGAGAGGACAGTGATCTGTTGATCTCAGCACCTTCCTTCAGCCGGGCACCGGTAGCACCTGTGGATGTTGCTCTTTCCGAACCAGCCAAATCAACCAGACTGATCTTGGCGACTTTTTCCATTTCCATTTTGGTTTCAGGATCGAACTTCTTTTGAGTAAGCATCAAAGTGAAGACGGCGTGACTTCGACTGGACGTCTCGTTCATGTTGGTTGCCGCGACAGTTCTGGCCTTGTTTCCTTCATCCATCAAGTGCTCGATCTCCTGGAAGCTGCCAACAACCAGCTTTGCCAAGTCTTCAACGTATGGTCCAGTCGAGGGGTGCTCTCGGACCTTGAGGTTGCCTTTGGTTGACGGATTGAGCAAATCTCGTACCCGCTCGTTGTAGATCTCGAGGTATGACACTTCCACTGTACAGCGCAGGGTCTTGTCCTCTTGCAACGCCGTGATTCTCCTAAACATATCTTGGCAAATGTTGGGGATGATGCCGACCTCCTTGCCGTATCCCATCATGGAGTATGACTTTCCGGAACCTGTTTGGCCGTAGGCGAAGATACAGTTGTTGTAACCGGCGAAAGCATTTTCTAAAAGCGGATGACCGAGGTCGTCGAAGAGGTTGTCTTGACCAGCATAGTGGGCGTCGTTTCGATCGAACGACCAGTATGATCTATCAAAGGCGAAGACCTTCTGACCAGCATCCTTCGCGTTCTTGGTGTGAGCATCAGCTGGAGGGGTGAGGATTGTCTGGTTGTCTTTCATCTCAATGATACATTTTGAACCGCGGTCGATTTCTACGATATGGCCTGTCAGCATGTGCCCGCAACGGATGCTTCCCCGTGTACTCTATTCAAGGGCAAGAGGGGTTCAAAGTCCAAAGCATACCTCTACTATTAAATGGTCTAACTCTCACCACCACCTTGATATTTCCACCACCTGCTGGCGCCATCTTTGCGACTGGGCTAAGGGCACTTGCCACCCGACTTCACGACAGAGAGTGCCGATTGTGCGGATGACAGGCCTTCGGCTACGGCCTGCTGTCGACTGCGTCCGACAAGGTCGACGACCCTCGGAGCCTGGATGACTGCAAAGGTCTACGTCGTCCGAGTATGATCCGTTTGGTGATCTCGGCAGCACTCTCAGAAGCTGTCCGAGGTCATTCTTCGGTGTCGAGGCGATCGGAACGCTTCGGAAGGGGGGCAAACCGAGGGGCTCGGCGAACGGGATTCTCGAGATTTCGATGGCCAGGTATTTTCAAGAGCGGTTCCTGGAGTGACGCAGACAGGGGGCCCTGCAGCAGAATGAATGATGCTGCGTCCGCGCAAGGGACACTGGGCAACTCCTTCGGACTTGGCTAGAGCGCCTCGTAGCGCAAATCCAGAATCGCCTCGATCTCGTAGGGTCGTGGTCGCGTAACACAAAGGGGATTTGAGTAGTCGGGTCGTTGAGAGCAGAAATGCGAAATGACAGGCACGAAGTACTTCAGTGTCAACAAATTTCGGGAAGGACGCGGTCGCGCATCGCATGAAGGTCTGTACAAGGAAGTGGCTTTGTTTGATTGGGCGGGAAATTAGCTGTAACTCAGGGACACTTCACGTGCCAATCCACTCAGCGGGGTGACGAGCAAAGGCTACTATCTCCAGGCCAGCTGCCATTCCTACAAGCACATGATGACTAAGCAGTTCGGTGGACGGTGGCCCCGGCGCCTTTGTTTCCAGTCCTCCTCGCCTTACCCAAGGTTCCTATGCATGATGATCATCCTATAAGTTATCGAATATCTCGTCGCCAGACCGTCGCTGAATTCCACACGACGGATACAGCGGCGCCCCGAGTCTCTTTAGACCAAGTGTTCGCTTCGGTACTGGTGTAGCTGCTAATTGTGGACAGTTTCCAGGATTCTCGGCCGAAAATGCACCCGTAAGACGTTAAGGTTATGGCGGTCAGTTCTCGGCGGTTGAAACAATCAAGAAACTCGAGAACGCAGAATCGACATCTAAATCTCTTCTTCGTACAACTCATCGCCAATCGTAGTGGCCTGTCGCCGCGGCAGTCGCATTCCCATTCCTAGCGGAACGACCAACATGCCTCGCCCCTCCTAATCTTCAGCTGCTATCATATCCACCAGGTACGCTTTACGGCGCTCCACAGGATGTTCGTCCCATTTTTATTTTATTTTTATTATTGTTGTTTTGTTTTCTTGCAGCTTTTGCCAGTCCCATCCTTGTTGAGTTGATGAGTAGATCTCCGATCCCGCTGTTTGACCCATTCCGCTTCAGTGCACGAGACGACGGGCAACCAAGCGCCGAAAATGACCACCGTTAAGACGCCACGGCGACATGCCAGTCAACCTTCGAGGACGGATCCGGAGACGACATCTCTATCAAAGGGCAGTAGCGTCTCACGAATGTAGGTGCGATCAAGTTGCAGAACCGTACATGCAAGCATCACACAGCCTTTCTGCCTTGGCCCGGCACAACTGCAGAATCTCTCAGGAAAGTTTGACATCAAAATGCTTGAAGCCCAACCTCTCTTTTACGCACCACCCACTTCGCTCCTGTTGCGAGGGCCTTCGCTCGACAGTCCAAACATGTACATGTTGGAGGACATTTTGCGTGTGTGTATGTGTACCAGTGTGATGGATTTGCGACGATAACACTGAACGTTGCGGCACATGCAAGACGGTACACGAGTCGCAACCAACGAGTCTTGGATCCGAGGCTTCAACAGAGCCACAATCTCGTATCTGCCAGCTTTGCCGTGTCTGGAAATGCCTTGTCAGAACACCGAATCCACCAGACCACAAAACGCCACGGCAGCCGCAGGTGCATTTGGTGCGCATGGTGTGCGTTCCGGACGTGAACTGCTCAGGTAACCATTGTTCTTTTGAAGAACGTCCCAATCTTGGCAGTTTGCACAGGTCAACACGACTCATGGAGCAATCAACTGATAAACCGGCTCGCGAAGTTACTTCCATGTTGGGGAGGTCACGGAATCCTCTCGTGGGGAGGGTATCGTCCTCTATCTGCGACCACTGACGCATCTGTGACGGGTCCCTCTGTCAACCCCTAGGCCTCAAGATGCGGATGAACTTATCGTCTAGGGCGCTCTCCAGGCACCCCTCCCATTACGATGCCTGCACTTGCAGACTTGGCGGTATTCCTAGTTCTGAGACAGAATAGTGAGAGGCTCTCTCTTTCTCCCGAACCCCAAGCTGCCCTATCGGAATTTCTAACGCCTCTCATCGGATGGACTGTCTCTGGGTCCCTATGAAGACGGGGCCCTCGATCGTCATCCTCCACTATCCTGCAACATGGACGGTGTACTCCGTACACTAGGTATCTATTAGTACCGTATCCTCTCGCGAGATTGGGATGAAGCTAGAAAACAGGCTAACGGCAAGGGGTATCGCGGCCGCTGTAATGGGCATAGTGTGCTGGCAGAAAGCAGGGATCTGGATGTTAAGGTACATTAGTACCTCTATTTGCCTTTGAAGAGTATACAATCGTTTAACTCGTTAGATAGGTTTTTTAGGTGTATATCGTCACTTGATAATTAGCGTAGGATTTTTCCTTATCTTTTTGCGTGACGGCGGTGTAATATTTAGGTTGATTTCGCTTAGCGGCGGGCGGTCGGGCATCGTGAATATTGTGATAGATTGGCGCAAGTGGGTGGATGGGTGGGTGGGTTGACCGCCTTCTATATTAGGCTTAGTGTTGAGGATATCCATTAACTAACTCTGGCTCGCCTACTCTCTAGCTTCATCCCAATCTCGCGAGAGGATACGGTATGAGCAATACACAAACGACAACTCCTTCCCCACTAGCCCTTCTTCAAGCTATTTTAGAACACCCCTTCATGCTACCCTCGTCTCAGAAGAACGAGGCCCCTCGATGATGGTGCAATGGGTGCAACCGGATGGAACAGTTGCTGCAGCTTCGACTCGGGCATCCGTCATCAGACGCTGGTCAAAATTTGCCCGGAAACTTTGTCACTGTAGAAATACGGATGACAAAAGAGGCGTCCGAAGTGACCCGGATTTCTTTAAGCAAACCCCCTCTCACCTTGCGCGGACGCACCGGAGCGGAACCACACGACACTCCCCCAACCCGGACTAACAGCTGCTTGAATCAGAAGGGCTTCGAGCTGCGCGAAGGCTGGGAAGCAAGCCTACCGCGCTGGCAGGAAACGAAGCGAGAGTAAGAAAAGAAAAGAAAAAAGGGCGGGGGGGGAACCGGACTTCAGCACGCTAGCGTTTCGTTCCTTGTCTCTCCTTCGCTCTCTCTGCATCTGTCGCGAGCGGTGTGTATTGCTTCCCCTCTCCAAACCAAACAGAAAAAACGGTGATCGTCGCCTGCTCCCTGTTTCGCACTGGGTAGAACACAACAAGGCTGGCTTAGTGCAAAGCTAGCAAGGGGGGGAAGTGCGTTTGAGCCCAAACACTGTAGCGCCCGTGATTCGTGCTGCGTCATTTTTTTTTTGTTTTTTTGCGGGGGTTTCTTTTTCCTTCTATTCTTACGTTTCTTCCCCTCCTCCTCCGTCGATGGCGCAAAAAAATAATAAGTAAATAAAAATCCCGGACCAGTCGTTGGTGTTGAGCTACTGCAAGGAACGGGCATTTGCCATGCGAAGCGGGCGACGCACATCATTGTTTGAGCTAGTTTGACACACGCCAGACCGGCGAGCCAGCAATGACGTTTCGCACCAGAACCGCAGCCAGCCATGGCCGAAACGGAGCGACCAAAATCCGTGTGGGGAAGCGGGCCAAGTCCACCGACAAACCGTCCTGAATTGTCTCGCGCACGACGACAGCTGAGCCCGCTCGGATCGGCAGTCACTGTCGCAACCACGGGTCACGTTGACATTGGAGGTGGTGCTCCGTCTAGCTGGGGCGGCGCCACAGGGACCGCAACAATGCACCTACGTGTGCGCTGGAAGCAAAGAAAACCTGGCCGATATCACCCAAGAAGCGCCATCCGAGCGGACCGCTTCCTTGGCGCCGCTGGACCGTAGCGCCAGCCCGTAACTCTGAAATAGAGGACATGCCATCCCGCTCCCGTTCTCCAGACTGGCTCGTCTTCGCCTTCCGCCAAACTCAAAAACTGAAAGAAAAAAAAGACTAAAAGAAAGCTAGAGAAGAAACTTTCACGGCCATGCCTAGGAGAGGCGACTGATCGATGCGTTGTTGCACCGCTCGCTCACACGTACTGCGTCAGGACGACGTGGTAGGCAGACCGGCACGCGTTCTACAACTCTACCCTCCCGTCTCGCGGGCGGGGGCACGTCACCCCCCTTAGAGTCCTTTTTCTAGTGTATGCCTAATTTTACTCAGGCAAATACTTTCACTGTGTTCCTACTACAGTGTGTGACCAGTATTGGGTACTCGTGCGGTCGTCCTACGGGGGACAACCTTGAATCAATACCCGACATCCTGGCGGACTGGTGTGCGCAAAGGGTGGGGGAGAGGTGGGGCAAGAAAATTGTCGCTACACGGATGGATACCAGAGGTGATCAAGCATATCGGCCTCGCCGTTACCAAAGTCGCCTGTTCTCGCGGCCTCGCCTGGCCGTCATGGAAACGACGCCAGCTCGCTCTCCCCCGTCGCCGCTGGCGTCGTCATCGTCATCATCGTCGTTGTCTACGAAGCCCAAGAAACACAAACGTTGAGCCACGCATTCCTCCTCGTCGACTGCGCTGGCAGCAGAACCTTAGGAACCATACTACACGCCACGCAACGGCCAACTCTATCGATGTCGATCACTCTCAATCGATGTCATCCACACACCCGTGCCGATGGAGAGAGCAAGGTAAAGTCTAACCAGTCACCCACACCCCACCCCCACACAAACGTGTACCTAGGTAGTTTGCACACGTCCATCGCGAAATGATTTACAGCATCTTATTGGGGAGGATGCTGTAGGAGCGGGGGTGCGGGGGAGGAGGATGGGAGTTCTCTCTCAACTTCCCTGCCTTAGGGGGGCACGTAAAGTCATCAAACTCTACCGCGAGTCAACAATAAGCGGCCATGCTGCCTCCCCGTCCCATACTGCAATCCTTGCAATTTAGATCGCCAGCACGTCCAACGATTAAACTGGAAGATCGGAAGAAAGTCCCCACCCGGACCGCCGGACGTCTGAGCGTGGCCGTGGCAAAAGGTATCTGATGTCTGCGCGTGAGGACCAGTCACATTGAATGGCCGTCCCGGGGGTTTCGCCATAGCAAAATACTTTTTTCATCATATGATTTTCAACCATCAACGCGCCCAACCAGGGCTTTTGAGAAGGTGGAATGTACTTGGATAGACCGTTTTTGATTGTCCCCCCCCCTCCCCCCTGATAGAAAGTGTATTGTGTTTGAATAATACTGTATGTAATGTAGCCTTTGGCGCTCGAGGCCCGGCAAAGAAATGATGATACACAGCAGGTATTTTTTACATTAGAATAAGATCGGCCATTTGTTCCACACTGGCCCTCAACTGGCTCCCCTGAGCAAAATTGCGCCACCAGCACCTGGCAAAGTAAACAATATGTAGACGAGAAATATGACGACGAGATGAAGGGAATCGGTTTGATATCCAGCTTTCGGGACGGATACCATGCAAGATAAAGGAGCGCCGCAGACGGGTATCAGCTTGATGCAAATAAGACAGGAAAGGAAAGAAAGAAATGCGCTTCTCCGAAAGGAACGCAATGGATCAGCCGTGATGTCGTTGTAGACGTAGGGAGCGTAAGCGTTACACGAGTAACAGTTTCAGGGAAACGAGATGAAATGACGCCAGGTATGATGCGTTGAAAATTTGAATCGGGATAGAGGCTGAAGCCGGTCTTGGTTGACTCATCACCCGCGGAACACGGCATTGGTGAGGAAGAAGGTTCCGCCGTCCGTCGGGCTATCCTTGGCTGGGGGTGAAGGTGCGGCAGGAGACGAGACGGTGCTCTTGACATCTATGGACAGTCCGCTCAGAGCCTCGTGGCTGCGCGCCCGGTAAATATCCTTCCGCTCGTCGTCAGAGAGGGCAGCGGTGTTCTCGGCCAGGTTTGCCTCTGCGCTCATTTTGGTGATTTCGTTCTCGACATCGGCCAAAAGGGCGTAAACATCGCTGTCGGCATAGATGCGGATGCTTTCCATGCCGGTGCGACGGTGGCTGAGGGTAGTCTCGTGCTTGGTGTTGACAGGCGCCTTGGGTGTCTCCTCGACCAGGGGTTGCTCGATGATGGTGCTGGGGATCTGGGCGACTACCCTTTGCGGCGAGGGGGGGCTGTTGACAGTTTGCGAAGAAAAGGCAGTCTTGGCGGGGCTCCGAGGAGGAGTGGAAATGTTGCCAACACTCGGCGAGCGCAGGCCCATGGCAAGCTGCAAGGACTCGCTCGCAGCGGCAGCCGCCGGAGTAGAAAGGATAGCTGCAGCAGCGACGTGTTCCAGGAGCTTTTGGCGCACCCGTGTCCGGCGGTTCTCGGCCTGTTCCAGCTTGTTGACCCAGTCATCAATGGACGTGTCAAGCTCAGCAAGAGCTTCTTCTTGCTTGAGCATGGAGTCCGTGCTGAACCTCGCCGTCCGGGGAGAGCGGAGGTATTGGCACATGCGCGAGTGCAGGTTGCGTCGACCAGCTCGCAGTGAGTTGTACGTGCGACGAAGGTACTCGGTCCGTTCGTCGAGCTGACGAAGTTCCTGAGGTTATTGTTAGTCCTGTTCCTCCGTCATGATGCGCGAGGTAAGGTTGTGCGGCTTTACCTTTGAAAGGGCTTCGACGTCCTCCTTCCTGAGCACCTCGAACCTGGACGCCTGGCCAAAAGCCTGCGTTTGCAGCGCCGCCAGTTCGTCCTGCTCCATGTGGCTGGCTGCTTCGTCAGCTCGCCATCCGGTCGGGAGCTCCTCAAAGGCCCGGCGTTCAGCGCTCTTGTTCCGGGTTGAGGAACTTCGCTTGAGCGGGCTGTTATTGTTTCGCGCGTCGCTCCGCTTCCTAGGGCGTCCCCGATCCATGATACTGCCAGACTCGGACTGTCCTCTCTTGTGGGTGTTAGGGAAGGGTCGGAGCACATGGCCTGTCTCGGGCCCTGAAGAGGCATCGCTGTTGTACGAGCCGGACGCCGTAGCGGTCGGTGTGCTGTTGTTCTCCCGTCGCATGGGGGAGTCTCTTCCTTCCATGATGGGGGCTGATGCGGGGGTGGTGGCAGACTGGATGCTGTGACAAGCGGAGAGAGGTGTCGTCAGGGCGGTAGAAGCTGTCAAGGGTGTGTAGGGGGTTCGAGATTGTGATCTGGGAGAGTCGTCGGTTCGGGCAGAAAGCTGGGCGGTGTCGTAGCCCGAGCTACCAGATCTCATGCGGCTGTTTGACATTTGCTTTGTAAGACTAGGCACATTACCAATGTGAGTAGGGATGACGAGAGGGGCCAGTTGCTTCGGCGAGGCCAGCGGACGGGGTGTCTGAGACTCCGAGGTAGACCGTTCGTGTCGTTCCGGAGAGCAGGCGGGAGTCATGTAGGCAGGCATGTTGGCGTCGGCGGCAGCAATGGACTTGAACGAGCTGTTGGACTTGTGCTGCTTAAGGTGGTGACCGGGTGCGCTGGCAGATCTCTCATGTAGAGGAGGCCGTCCCGGGATAGTGGCTGGGGCGTGTCAGTCATGACCTTTGGAGGCGAAGAATACCGGACGGTGGACTTACGTGAATCCATGGGAACTTCCTGGACAGTTGTCATTGGGCCCAGCTCGGGAATGCTCACTTTGCGCCGTCTAATAAGGTTGTGCTCCTTGATGCGCAAGCGGAGCGAGCCGCTGGTGTTGCATGGCTTCTCCGTCTTTTCGTTCTGTCCCATGGCGAGAGCGAAGGCCTGCTCAGGGTCGAGGACCTTTGCAGCTGGGCGTTGCGGGCGATCCTTGGGAAAGAGCTGGTACCTGCGGCCCTCTGGTTGGTGCATTCTCCACACAAAGGGCTTGTAGTCTGTTGAAGGCAGTGGTGGTAATTGCGTCTATAGTTGGGGGAGAAAACAGACTTGGTCAGTTGTTGCTTCAGAAGGACAAAGGCAAGAGAAATAACGTGTAGGTTGGGTAGTTGGAGGGAAAAGAGTGATGTCCATACCGGTTCCATAGGAGGCAGTGGGGAGGGCGGCTTTGCTATATACGGCGGAGCGGTGGGCTCTCCTTTAACACTGAGCATACAAGATGCGATGTGTGCCATTGAAGGAGAGGAAGGACGCGGGTGCAGGGTTCCGGAGTGAGGGAGGGATATATGGATGGCAGCTGGTACAGGCCGGGAGAAGATCTGGTACAGCTATAGCCAAGGTCAGGGTAGGTATGGGTCCCACGCTATGGTAACACATTGGCAACTCGGGTGCAGAAGTCGAGCAGTGAGGCTATATATGTCTTGGGCAGTAGAGAGGAGCAAGACTGGAGAAGAGGAAAAAGCTCGAACCTGCATTTGACAGGGGGGTGGCACCCCTTGGCTGCTCCGATATGCAGGCCGGTCTGTTTTCTGACAGGGAGCCTTGACACTCACTCTGTCACTCTGGACCGGGAGGCTATGGGTCCTGGATGAGCATGGGGGGCATGGTGTGCATGGGAAGGGGGCTCAGGTGAACAAGCTGAGAGAAGGGGGAGTACGTACAAGAGTTGCTTGGGGGAGGGGGGGGGACACGGCACGATTCGGGGCGAACGGGGGGGAAGGAGGATTGGAATCAGAAAAAGTGGCGAGGAGCCGGATTGAGGAGCCAGAGCCAGTGGTATACGATGATTTTTGTATCGCAGCTTCGCATTGGGGCAGGGCAGCTGCTGATTGCGCACAAGGTTGTAGATTGTACAGTTTCGGGTCAGGGAAGGAGCAAAGTTAAGAGAGCGAAGACAGCACTCGCAGATGGACTGCGGATATGTATACACACACACACACACACACACACGTACACACACACGTAGGCAGTACGAGTATGTCGAGTACGTGTGTGTTGAGTACGGGAGTGTCCATTTAGATGCTACAGCTACAGCACAGATGGAGGCAGATGTGTGTAGAAAGCTTGGAGTTGTCTCGCGTCGGCGCCTGCGCCTGCACCTAGTCTAGGACTAGACGCACTTCACAGCGCTCTACGGGACGGAGACAACGAGTGCGGAAAGAGACAGGGGAACCAGAGGTGCGATGCGATGCGATGCACGCCGCAAGCTTCGTGGGCTGGCTGCTTCCAACGTGCCTTCTTGATGCATCTTCAAGACGGGACAGGACCGAAATTGCATTTCGATACCCGGTCAGAACACCCCTTCCCTGTAAGAAGAACTGGGCGAAACACACGAGGGACGTAGTGCCCGACTGCCGGAGAAAGGAGCAAAATTAGGAATAGGGCAGTAGCTAATTGTGTGGCAGGGGTGGAGCGCCAGAAAGCCGTAGGGGAAGATGCAGAGAGAGAGAGCGAGAGAAAGAGAGAGAGAGAGAGAGAGAGAGGTCATCTAAGGCCATGGCCGGAAACTTACATACCTTGTTTTGTATCTACAAAGTACATCGGGTAGGAGGAGTAGAGTGAGTGGGTGATGCGTGTTTGGTTTGACCATCCTTCTTTCACAACTTCTGAGGTGCAGAGAGGCAGGTGTGCAGAGGCAGGTAGGTACAGTATGCAGAGGCATTGGCTGCGCGAACAAGGCAGGTACGAACATGGTGCATGCATGCATTCGAATAGGTATTCAGGTGAGCTGCGTCGCTGTGCATCTGAACCTGCACCCGCATGGGGAAGGGGGGGGGACAAGTTGAAACGGGCTTGGGCATTGAAGCAGAACCAAAGCCACCTCGACCTCGGGTGTCATGGAAGCAGGGGAATTGGCAGCAGCACTGGCAATCGTGGCTGCAGTAAGAGAGAGAGAGAGAGAGAGAGCAGGAGCAGAGCCCCCCCACCTGCCGCGGCTGGTGTTCCACTCGAGAAAAAACAGGGGTACGTACCGACACAGGGGGGCTTTCTTCTGGCCTGCTAGCGTGAGGTATCCGTCACTCCCCTCGCCCCTCTTCCCATCCTGTGGCCCACTACGGATACAGAGGATACCTTGTCGTTGGTGGTTCAGCATGTTTATCAGGGGAAATCGGAGAGAGAAAGAGAAAGAGAGAGAGAGAGAGAGAGAGGGAGAAACAATCTGGGCTGCGTGGACAAGTCTAATATACACTAAATACCACCAACGTAGGTGCATACAAATACTGCGGTATGGACATAATAACTACCTGTACACAGTATAGTAGTCTACATGTACAGATACTCCGTACTCTCTGGAAAATTGCAGTGTACGGAGTAGGTATGTTACAGATGGGGGGTAGGGTATCCGTACCTTACCTAGTGTGCGCGGTACGTACTGCGACCCAGTGAATGAACATGGGACCCCCCCAGCCGCCGAGTAACCGATGGCCACCATGCTGGTCGATATCGCCATCCTGATGACCTTTCTCTGGGACCGTTGGATGGTACTTGGTAGGCGAAGGGTTCTTTGCTAGTGTACTATTGTGGTGTGGTATACTATGTAATTGTACGAGCACACCAGCGCGTTTGCAGCTGAGTCTAGAACAGGGAGAGGGTTCCATCCATTCCGCTTCTCTCCATAACGATATACATAGTAACATACATTGCACCAAGTCTTGTACGCTCGCTACATAGGTAGGTACCTGCAAGAGAGTATGCAAACCACGTGTTGGTGGTTAAAAAGGTTGCCCGCTCAAGGCATTGCTAGATACCTTGACAACCTCCGCAGAACTGTCTCTCCTCGACGAGCTAGCTTGTCTTGGTCTGTTGTCTCCTTCCATGTGCTACTTTAGCTAGTTCTCAGGATCGTGAGCACGGGATCCGCTCCCTCGCAACTGCCAGCCTCGGATGGCCGGTCTTGGAAATACCAATGGATTTGTTTGCCTGGTGGTGTTTCCTCTCCTCCGCCTTGTTGTAAATCCACAAACCACTCGGGCCTCTTTCTTGTCTTTGACCACTACACACTATAACTCGATGATGCATCTAACCAACACACCCATGCGTCTTTTGTCATCTCTCATCGTCTTCTTGCCTTGTCCCGTCATTGCTATGACCATCCGATGACACCGTCGCTACCAACACGAGAATCAAGAAACGCGCTAGCCAACGGCTCACGGCCGCCCGACTTTGCTTGCTTTTTCCGGCAACGACTTCAATCCGCTTACCGAACATATCAGCGCGCGCGTTGAAACGGCCTGACTCTCAACTGTGACTCTCTGCATACGCCATGTGGGCGCTCAACCGACGATCGCCACAAACAAGACAGCACTTGGACACGATTTGTTTATACTAGAGCCCACTTTCTTGACCGGCACATCTGTCTACATCCAGTTTGAGGCTTGCACTACCTACCCAGCTACCTAACATCCAACACGGGCAGCGACACGAACCCAACTCCCGACGTTCCTTCCGTCTCGGTCTGCAACGCTGAGTACAGCTTCACTCCGTCTCACCTTCAGGCGACGAATCATCACCCTAGCCGTGTACAACGACAACCTGTTTCTTCCTTACCTTCCCCCGCAACACTCGGACACTGCACGCGCGCGTGTGTTTATGTGTGTTACAGGGGCAGTGGGATGGTGAGATGTTGATGGGCCTATCGCAAACCTTCGCGGCACACGGCCTATCCTATTCAACCACGGCCCCCTGCCTCGCTCAACTACGACATCCATCAGCCACCGCATCACCCCTTCTTTGGGCTGCACGCTCCTCCAAGGTCACCCGATGTGACCACAGCCTTGATAAACGACGCCGCTTGTTGTCGTCTTTCCTGGTCGAGTCGCGAGCCGAGAGACACCACCGTCTCAAATTCTGCTCTTCGGAGCTTCATCTAAACTAACCTCACGGCCTACCTGGCGATATTCAACGGAAAGAAGGCGACGATGCAGTATGAACCTCCACAGCTCTCGGGAAGAGGGCCTGTATGACCCAAGACGCCGGCACTCGACACTAACGCTCCGCGCCAGTAGGGAAAGGCCTGGCCGTACGAACCGGAGAATTTGCGGTATTGGCCGGATATCAGATATGGTCCACGTTTGCCACGCCAACCCTCTGCATGAAGTTGCATGGAGTTGCATGAAGGATAACCCCCAGGAAAAGGAGGGGCAAACATTGGATGACGAAACAGCTGCAACATATATCAGGACAACAGCCACTCACAACGCAAAGAAACGGCGGTTCGAAGGCAACTAGCTGCCTCCCACTACAACGCCGCCGGTGGCAGCCCGAGTTTTTCAGGGTTCAACGACTTGCCGTCGATGTTGGCTTCAACCAACGGGACGGCGTCCGTGGCTTCACTAGTGAAACCTGTCCGTTCGGAGACTCGGGAAACGCGAGCAAAGTCTAAGCCCTCGGTCCCGATAGCACTAACAAGAGGTTGACCTTGGGGTCTTGAGCTTTGACATGACGTGGGCCTCTGACAATCCGTTCCATGGCCATCTCAGCGCCAGTCAATGACTTTGACTCCTCATCACAGCTGGCCGTTTGGCAGTGCACTGCGACGGTCGGTCTCAAATCATTCTAGATTCCGTCCATTGGCGATGGTTCTGGGCCATTTAAACTTCTGTCACTTCCCTACTAGCCAACAAAGCGCCACCAACGTTCGTCCACAGCGACCAAGCTGTCCATCTGTTTTAAGCGGCTATGCACGTACAAGGCGCGGGTGGTAATGTCCGTTCATCCTATCGTCGGTCCTTTGATGAGACGGGAGGTACTTGGGTGACAAAAACGATGGCCGCTTGCCATATGGTAGTGGTAGGTGCAACCGGCCGCCTTTTTTTGTTACCCGAGTGGGAGTCCTACGAGCTATCTTCGCCATGTCTGGGAAGACGGTTTCACCTTACTCTTTTTGCAACTCCCGCTCGGAACGTTTGCCGAAGTCCAGCTGCCAAGCTTTCTCGGCCCAGTGGTGCTATGGACCTAGCAAACCTTTTCTTGTC